AGGACAATCAAGGTAAAAAAGGACCAATTCTCCCTTTCAACTCATGTTTTTCTTGAGCCTTTGTTGTATGTTAAGCACCAAATGAGGCACTTTGACATATGGGGTAGCAAAGCTATCAAAAAACGTGAATCTCAAATCTGATTTTTTACTCATCCATATAGAATCAATTTTACTCCATTAGAAACTATTCTTTTTGAATTAATTGGCATGGTTGTGATCAACATAAGACATGTAGTACTGTTTTCTGAAACATCTTTGGCCTTTAATTCATTAGCTGCCTCCAATCATTTTTTTTTTTAAAGAGCAGCCATATTCAATGGCTTTATTACTTCCAAGAACCTGAAAATCCTTAAGGGTTAAAGTCCCTATAAATCAGTGGTTCTCAACTTTGGCTGCACATTAGAATCACCTGGGAATCTTTTTAAAATCCTGATTTCTGGGCCTCATCCTCCAGAAATTCTGTTTTTTGTTATGGGGTGGGCCACAACATTAGTAACAAAGAAACAGAATTTCTGGAGGATGAGGCCCAGAATCAGGATTTTTAAAAGGATCCCAAGGGATTCTAATGTGCAGCCAAGGTTGAGAACCACTGCTATAAATAAAAAAGTGCTATTGTAGGGAGCGGCTAGGGTCAAGCCTCCGGCTCACCTGTGGCAGGGCCACAAATAAGTCCCATCCTGGAGGGCAGAGCTCTCCTAGCATAATTAAGCCTGACCTTGTAGCCCTCTCTAATTCCTTCCTAAGTAGCTAATGGGCTGTGGGAGGTGCAGCAAGTGTTGCCAAAACAAGAACCTTTGTATACATGTTAATCTACCCTTGTTTTAATCAGACTATAAAAAAAAGCATTGGCTTGCAGGCTGGGTCTTATGTGTCCTCATCCAGGCATGGGAGATCCACCGAGCCCCAGCCGTAGTCTCTTTGTCTTCTTTAATCCTTCACCGCCCCTCCTCAGGTTCACCCTTGGCCGTGCTGGTGTGGCACATGCTATTATCTCGGAAATCATAGTGTTGGGATAAGATTCAGTTAATAGACTTGCATTACTGGAGTCTTCAAATGCACTATTTCCTTTAAGAGTGATAAAGTTACTAATAGTGACTTCTACTCATGACCTACCCTATCCCCAGGTTTTGGTAAAGGATCCCTAGGACAATGTCCTTTATCGACCTTGGAGCATCACCCTGCCCATTCTAATATCAATCTGTGATGATATTTGTATTCCTTGGCTCATAACATTGTCTCTTAAAATAGGTAAAATCTCTGGGCTTTATATATTCAGTTGATTGTAATGGAGAACTTTGAATTTAGTCTCAAAAAGCCCAGACAAGCTTGTCATGTCTGAATAAACCAACTTCTGAATGCCTGGTTACACTTAACAAATTGGGACCACACCCAGCTGTCCCTACTGGGAAAGTTTGATGAGCATCTCTCCAGAATATTCCAAGACAATAAATATTCATGGAACCATGTCTTAGATGCTTCTGTGACCTGCTGAGAGAAGTACTATTCTTTTCTGGCCCCAATTAAAGGGTTCAGCTTCCTTGATGACCTGCCAGGATTACTCCACCTCCTATTTCCCATCATCAGCCTATATTAAACTCTTAAATGCTAAGAAACTATAAATCTTTATTTCTCTCTTTGGATAAGGTTACCCTTTTGATAAGGTTCCTCCTCTTCTCCACAGGAATTCAGGACACTGGGGTGAGATGGGAAGGAAGTCAGCATTAAAACATGCTTGGGTTTAACCCACATCCTGTGAGTCTGTGTGTCTATGTAAAGTCCAACACACTTAGAAGAAAATTGATTAGTTTCTAATTCTACCACTATACCCAGGAAGATTTTAGCCAGATTAATAATATACCACTAGTTGGCCAAAATTATTAATGGAACAATAGGCAGAACCCCTAACACCTTTTAATCAGTGTGTTATTATACACTTTAAGTAAATTAATATTCCTTAAATGAGTTCTAATTCAGAGGCATTAAGATAAGTATATTTCAAATAATGACATCCATCAATGATTCAATTTTTTTTATTTTTAGAGGTTGAACAATGGTTCATTGAAGACTTTCTGATGAAACAATTAGCAATATCAAAGATGATTTCAATATTTTTTTAAAGTTAGAGCACAGACTAAATACAAATCAATTTAAATAAGCACATTTTTGAAAAAGAATAGAAGAATACCTAAAAGTTCCCATTGAATTCATGTGGTATTATTCCTGGTTTTATGGGTACTATCTTATATCTTAATTAAATAAGACCTGGCAGAAAACAATTAGTGATTAATTTATATAGAAACTGGTAGCACTGAAAATTTTAAAATCTATGCATTCTAATGGTTTGTGTGTGTACATACATATGTAATTTCTGTTTTGCCTATTTTTGCAATCTTAATCATTATCCTTTCTTACTGTTTCCTCTGAGGATCTTACCTTTCTTTAACATACTTAATCAGAGCTTTTCTTGACAATCCTTTTCACACATCATTTTCTAGTTTTCAAATATTTCCAATGATGCCTTTTATTTTAATAAAAGGGTTTTGATGAAAAAACTAAAGAACACTGAAATAAAACTTTCTCTGTCCCAATACTACTCACAACCTACCACAACATTCATGCTTCAAATCACAGAACTAGGGAATTGACTTGTCAAGTATCCCCCACATTTCTGTGATAGGCCAGGGCTTCCAGGTGCTGCTGCTACAAGGTAAGGTGTTGATATAATTTCTTCTATTACAGTGCACTGACTACAACATTTCATTGTCCCTTCACTTACTTGTTTTAGCTGGCATACGATATAAAAATTCCAGATGAACTAACATATAAATCAAAAATATTCATTACTTCTGAACCACTTTAAATATGTTCAGTCCTATTTGGCTATCCAACATTTCAATGTTTCTTCTTAATATATGATCACCTTGCTTTCTTCACTAAACACCTTATCCTTTAAAGCTCAGTTACCCATTTTGCAATCTCTCTGGCTTGTTTACTTTGGGACATTTCTGTATATGTAGCTCACTATTGTCTATGTGTATTAGAATAACAACCACAGAGTACAATGGGAGTTGACATCCTAAAATAGTTTACCCTCTTACTTCCTTAAAATGTGATTTTAACATAAAAGTTATTTTTGAAACTTAACTTTGAGTAAATATTTTGAAGAAAAAATTAATTCCTAAAAGACTTGATTCTACATACTACTTAAATGAGAACATTTTCTGAAATTCAAACATAGCAAGCTCCATTTGCTCAGCGATGAGGTACTTGCACAAAGTTCCCCATGGCCTTTTAGGTGTACAAATTTATGATAATGAAGACTACTTCTAAGGAAATAATTTGACATGAAAGTTTTTTTTTTCTTTTTAAACTACTGCATTTAAAAAGTTATTTTAATTGTAAACACTCAAGAATAAGCCAGTTTTAGGATCACATTATTGTATCACAGTAACAGAAATGTGAATCACATTTATTTTTTTAATTCATGGATTCGGGTTCTCCTAAATCTCACTATTGAGCTACTAAACTCTTGATATAAGTTGTTGTATCATCATTCCTGGAACTAAGATCCTAAGGAAATAACATGCTCTCATGAAATCACACATAGTCAGCTGCTTTTGTATTTTGGTTAACCAGGTAGTTTGAAAATTATGATCCCACTAGCACTGTCTTCAGATTTTAGAAGCAGGCTAGAGGAATTACACTGAGGTAAACTTTGTGGTAGTTCAGTTGCCTCTCTATTGCCCCAGAACTAACCATGGTATTGAGGATGGATATGCAGAAATTATGCTTTTCACCAGGTAGCAGTTACCATAGGTGACCAAAAATCACCTTTGTATGGCATCTATAACATATATGGATGATAAACTAGCATGATTTTCAGCACTCTAAATTTGTAGGTTTGGGTATCTGAACAAAGTTTTATTTTTTCAAAATATTTTCATTATTTTTACCTAAAACTTTAAGTCCCTACATGTGGATTTATCACTTTAGATAAATTTCCAATTTTACAGAGATAGAAATATAAAAGATAAATTTTAGCAGCTAAAAATTTTATTATATTTTTTTAATAAGTGAAGGGAAATTTTTACATAGTTTAATCTGGGGTTGGGAAAATATTTAATGTCTGTTGGCCAGATAAGAATATTGATAAATCAACCAATTGGTTCTTGGGGTTAAAATTTGACTCCTACATTAAAGTATTAAAAAAAATAAAGTAATTCTACAGTACATGTGTATAGGAGTTCAGTCCTGTATTCAGGCATGCAAGTGTATTATTTGGTGGTTTTCAAAAACTATTGCACATTGTTGGGGGTTCTGAGGAAAATAAAGCATCTGAGGTTTTCCTTTCTTCTCACCAGGAGAAAAACAGCTTAACATGCAGTGAAAAGAACACAACTGCTCTCTTACTGTGAGTTTAACTGCCATGGGGCATTGAGAAAATGGGTGGTCTTTTCCCCCTTTATCACTGTAGTTTTCTCCAGGCATATAGGTTGTTCAACCTTAGTATGGTTTATAGCATAGTCCTTGTTGTTTTCATTTCATAATCTAACATTTAGTTCTTTATATGACTTTGCAAATTCCTATATGGTTCATTTATACTCTTACTTTTTCTGAAAAAGCTCATTCAGTGCCAATTCTTTTGAAAACTACTTGAAATCTAACTCATTACAGGTTTCTTCACTCCATGTTATAAAATCTCAATATAGATACTGTCCAAACTGTCCAAAGGATAATGCTTGAATTCACAGTAACAAAAGTGACAAAGGTTGTGCAAAAGATATTGTACACCATTGGAGTACATAGAGCTTGCTACAGTTAATTTTTTATATAAAGCTGCACTTCTCATTAGAACTATTATGTGCTACATTAAAAGTAAAGTATGTGATTTAACATTTCACTAATAATAAAACTGAATGCTAATTTAATCTCAGAATTTTTAAGATGCAAATTGCATATTTATGATGTTTGTAAATGTTGTAATCAATCATTGTAATCATTTAAACACCATAATTGCTTTGGAGCTCTTCAAGTTTTCCAAGGGTCATAAAGTAAACCCGGCTGTGGCGATTGCGCAAAGTAGAGGTAAAGAATAGCTTTAAAAAGAAAGAAAGACACCATCAGTAAATGTTTTTAGTACATTGTAACCTGATATTTGTTAGATACAACTATAATTTCAATTTATCTGCATCAATCACTTAAAATATTAAGCTATACTGCTTTTCAGAATAGAATTTCTTCAATTTAAAGACTAAGAATTTTAAATTAGAATGTAGTCTAAATATATTTTAAAAAATACCTTTTACCATCCTAATATATAAAAACCCAGGGTCCATAATGTCCAAAATGACCGAAGGCTTGAGTGAATGCCAGGCTGCGTGCAGCAGGCTCCGATGAGCGGAACTGGTGAGTGGGCTGAACTGCTGACCTCTTGGGGAGAGAGAGTGGTGGGGCTGATCAGCAATTACCACAGCTGCTGGTGAGGCCCAGAGAGAGAGAAGCAGGGTCTAATCCAGCCGTGGGCAAACTATGGCCCGCGGGCCGGATCCGGCCCGTTTGAAATGAATAAAACTAAAAAAAAAAGACCGTACCCTTTTATGTAATGATGTTTACTTTGAATTTATATTAGTTCACACAAACACTCCATCCATGCTTTTGTTCTGGCCCTCCGGTACAGTTTAAGAACCCATTGTGGCCCTCGAGTCAAAAAGTTTGCCCACCCCTGGTAATCTGAAGTCTCTTTCTAGGCCTCACCAGCAGCCAGGCCTCTCTCTCTCTGAGAGATCAGCTGTTCAGTCTGCTGGCCAGCAGCCTGGAGTGGCTGTTAATCAGCCCAGCCTCTCTGATCAGACCTAGAGATAGGCTCAGAGATGCTGACTGGCATAGAAACCGACCAATCAGAACCAAATCTGGGTAAACTGCGAGGATCTAATGGCTGTCTAGGAGGTGGAGCTTTTGACACTGATTGGCATAGAAACCAACCAATCAGAACCTAATCTGAGTGAACTGAAAAAGCAGAACCTAAGGTGGGGGCTGAGGAGGGGTTTTCAGGGCAACAGCTGTTTGGTGTAAGGTGTAAGAAAGTGGTTCAATTTTTTAAAGACCAGTTTGGCAGTATAGTGCATATGGCTGGCTATCAGTGCAGTTATAGAGATTATGTATTTTTGTCTGCCAAGAGCATCTCCTCCTGCTAAAAAAGGCCTTCCCCCCACTTTAAGCAATTCTATCCTATATAATCTATCTATACTAATAAAAGGGTAATGTGCTAATTAGACTGGGTCGACCAGCCATCTTCCAGACGTCTGACTTCCTTCAGGACAAAGCCATGGTAATGGGGGCTGAGGAAGAGGCAGTTAGGGGCAATCAGGACAGCAGGAGAGGGCAGTTGGGGGGTGAGATCGGGCCAGCAGGGGAGGGCCATTGGGAGTGAGATCAGGCCGGCAGGGGCAGGCAGTTGGGGGCGAGATCAGGCTGGCATGGGAGGGCAGTTAGGGGTGATCAGGTAGGCAGAGGCAGTTAGGGGTGATTAGGCCAGCAGGGGAGAGCAGTTAGGGGTGAGATCAGGCAGGCATGGGAGGGCAGTTGGGAGCAATATCAGGCCGGCAGGGGTGGGCAGTTAGGGGCGATCAGGCAGGTCAAGGCAGTTAGGGGTGATCAGGCAGGCAGGCAGGTGAGCAGTTAGGAGCCAGTGGTCCCAGATTGTGAGAGGTGCAGGCTGGGATGAAGGAATACCCCTGTGCAAGAATTTCATGCACTGGGCCACTAGTCCTATATAATAAAAGCTTAATATGCTAAGTGTCCAGTCATCCATTCAACCAATCAAAGTGTAATATGCTAATGATATGCTAAGGCCGCTCAACCTCTTGCTATGATGTGCACTGACCAACAGGGGGCAGAGAGTCAACTGGTCAACCAGCCACTATGATGTGCATTGACCACCAGGGGGAAGACACTCTGACTGGTAGGTTAGCTTGCTGCTGGGCTCTGGCTGATCGAGACTGAGCAAGATGGGCCAGATAAACCCTGAAGCCCTCCCACGGTCCCTCCCCAGCTGGCCAACCTTCACCATCCCTCACTGGCCCAGATCATGCACAGGTGGGGTCCCTCATCCTGGCCTGCGCCTTCTCGCAATCCGGCTGAGGGACCACCCCCCCTCCGAGTGCATGAATTTTGTGCATCGGGCCTCTAGTATTCTATAAAATGGCACTATATTTAAACAAAATTAGTTTTTTGTAGGTGACAATTATCTGGTAAAGTTTTTGATTAATTTTGGTTAACAATTCTTTGCTTAAAAAATCAACTTTCACTTGTTGACTTTCCTTTTTTAAATATAAGGAAATGATTAAATTATTTTGATGTTCACCATTGTTGCTGGCCTTTATGAAATTTTCTACCTGGTGCAATTTTAATTTTCTCTGTCAGTGGAATGCACTGACATCAATAGATTGATATTAAGAGCTAAACTGATTGGCTTAGAGAGAAACATGTCATATAAATATGGTATGTGCCATAAACATAATTAGAATGGAGATGAAGAAACTAAGGCCCAGAAAGATTAATCAAACTTCAAGGTTCTTACACCTAGTCATGCGGCAGAGCCAGCACTGCATCTTAGGTCTATGTGACTTCAAACACCAGTTCTTGCCATTATATTACTTTATATTGCAAACTAGTACCTTTCCTTGAAGCACATTGCTTTACCCTGGCTGTTCTGATATTAAGTGAATCTTCTGTAATCTCTTCTAAATGTGATTGAGTCCTAATCCTATTAGGATTATTTCTTCTCGTTATTATTTCTCATAATATAAGGACTGTAATGATTTTATTCAATGCATTTTTCACCTAAACCGTCTGATTGGGTTGATAAAATTGATTACATTACACTAAGAGCCAAATTATAATTTTATTTTTCTTTCTTGTAAAATGGACAAAATAATAGCAAATCCATCTTAAAGATTAAATGTAGTTTTAAAAGTAGTAATTTCTTTAGTTAATTTTCATTGTTTTCTTTATTTTTTCTTTTACTGGAGGATATATTACCTTGTCACCTCGGGTACACAGAAATCTCAGCTTCTTAATTGACCTGCGCTTCAGTTCACTTTCGAGAAGCCTTGATTGCAAAGAGCGAACTTCAATGGCCTTTTGGCCCCATCCTGTGGTTCGCTGTGTACATTCATATGCTATAATAAAAATTAAAAATTAGAAAAACACAAATATTTCTACAGAGATAGAAAATTATAACCACAGCCACTATTTGACTATTAAGAATCTGATTATTACAGTTCAGGTAAACACTTTATTTCCTCCTTCTATAGTCAGTCATTTGGCTATTATGCTGCTTAGCAGGTGTTGTTTAAACCAGCTATTTATTGTTAGCATTGTGATCAATGCTGAATAACTATATCTAAATTAATTTTGCTACTCATATTCTCTAACACTGCAGAAAAAATCTAAGGGTTAATTCTACCCTGTTGATAGAAAGTTAAACCTACCCACAACCATTCTTCTTTTTACAATCTAGTTGAGGTACAACATTCCATAAGGTTTTGTAATTGTGTTCAAATAACATACATGGAAAACTGACTAACTTTTCAAAATTAAAACTGTTAAAAATGACCTGCTCAAATAATGACTTTAGCAACTCTAATGTAGTTCAATGAATTACTATGTTATAAAGAGAAATAAAACTAATTTGATACTGTTAATGCTTTTTCTTTCTCAGGAAATTTTTATAAGATTTCAACTTTTATAACCTGTTTTATTTTACTTGGTGACAATAAAGATTATGACAATTGCTTTAAAGCAGAAAACCTAATCATGTAAATGGCCATACAGTCAGTTGGTGCTGTAAGGTATTTTTTGACACAAGTGGCTGTATTATTTTTAAATATTTAACTTTCAAGTTGATATTCTTTATGTACTTTATGGGGAGGCAAATTTCCATAAATAAATATAATCCTGCACTTATAATATCAAAATTTTGAGTCAAGTTAAAATAGTCTAGAAAGCACTAAAACAAGATTCCTTCATTCTCATATTAACATGACTAAAATTAGAATTCAATTCATTAGATTTTTCATTTTCTTCTATTATAAAGTCAATAAAATCTGAGTTGATATAATTATAATTAAAATGTTCCCTTATCTGGCCACAAAAGTTCTAGGATAAGAATGGACCTGGAGAGTATTATGCAAAATGAAGTGAGCCAGTCAGAGAAAGAGAAATATCATATGATTTCACTTATATGTGGATTCTAATGAACAAAATAAACTGATGAACAAAATAGTAACAGAATCATGGTTTTCAGAAGGGAGGGTGTTGCGGGGGGACTGAGTAAAAAATGGTGAAAGGATTAAACAAACTGCCCCAAACCTCATTGAGAGACAACAGTATGGTCATTACCAGAGAGAAATGGGGATGGGGGAGGTAAGAGAGGGAAAATGGGGGGAGAAATGGTAATGGAAAGAAACATGACTTGGGAGGTGAACAAAGAATATACAGATAATGTATTATAGAATTGTACACCTTAAAACTATATAATTTTATTAGCCAATGTACCTCCAATAGATGCAATAAAAGAATAAATATTAAATGAAAAATAAACCAAAATTTAACTGGCCTATACATATGTATGTAAAATATGCATAAAAAGATTCATGAAAAATTATGAAACTTTTATGAAAGTGACTTTTCATAGGCGGTGTGAGCCATTTTGAATCCCTCAACTAAAACTTAGCAAGAATTTATTATTTCTTGCTTCCTTTTACATTACATTTCCAAATATTTATGCACATGAAATTGACATAAACTTGTAATTAAATTGCAACCATATTTTATTGAGACAATGGTCTCCTGAAAGGAGATTTTACAAGCCCAACTTCAGACTAGAATTAAAATCACTCCAGATATGAGGAAAGCTATGGGAATACATAGCTTGACTGACGGGAACAAGTAATAGGTTTTTGCCTATTCAGATTTGAATTTTTTCACTTATGTGAATACGTCATTAAAATTGAATTGTTGTCAACAACCACAGAGAGCAAAAATTTCTAAACTTAATGCACAGCTTACTTGCAGAGTCAAGTACACAGTTCATAAGGCATTACATAATTCCCAACTTAATTTTGAAACTCTAATCTGCCACCTAACCTAGTTACTGAGCTAGCCTGCTTATGAGGTGGAATCTAATGATTTGGGTTGGAATAGTTAGTGATATTTGCTGTGATTGTTAAGCTTCTATATCTATTTGAATATCTAGAGAAATGATCTTATTACTTAACACATTTAATATATCTCAAGAAAATGTAAAATTCAGATTGGGGAAATCTGGATCTAGGTTAGCTTTAAATAATAAGCAGTTATTTTTAGATAGAAAAATAAATAATTTATTTCTTTAATATCAGTATTATACTGTAGTCTTTAGTATACCCTCAAAATGCCCTTAATACACAAACCAAAATAGCATGTTCTTATAGTGCTATAATTTATTTTACATATAAAGTGATGGTTTTCAAATTCTAACAACTAAAGTATTTTGTGTTGTTTTAGGTCAGAAGTTGTCTTAAGGACAGAACCTGTACCAGATAACTTTTTAAGAACCCTTTGATTCATATGATTGTCTACTGGCATATATACCAGAGGTTTGTTCCATTCCCCATTTGAATGGAATTTTCTTAGTTCAGTTTCTGATTATCAAATTGATTAAAAAGTACCAGTGTAATGGTTAGATAAAGATTCATTATTTTCAGTTTCCTTTGCCCTAGGTCTATTAATTATATTGTAGGCATTTACCTTTCATCACTTAAAATGGTTTTAAACCCTCTGTGAGTTCTTACCTGTTTGAAGCAATTTGAGGAGGTTTTCAGGACAGTCGTTAACAACATGTATGGAAAATAAAGGATTCTGCAGACACCATGCAAAGTGCTCTCATCCCATAATGAAAAAATGTCAGTTAAAAAGCAGTTCTTTTAAACTGGTCTTTATAGCCACATGAGGATCACATTTAGCCCTTTAATAGAGATTTCAGAAGCTTCTGGCTTCTCTATTGACAAACTACCTTTCTCTTTTTTCCTCTCTTCCCCTCTCCTCTTCTTCATTTGCTTCTTTAAACTCCTTCCCCTTCCAGGTATATTTATCCTCCTCAGACCATTCTACTCTCTCTAATGTTTTCACTGTTCATATACATTCTGTTCGCTATCTAGAATCACCTCTGTAGTCTCAGAGACATATACAAAAATCTCAAATTATTCAGGTTTCTCAGATCTGCAGTGCTGCATTGGTCAGGAAGAAAAGATATCCTGGGCTGATGAAGACAAAAAGGCAGTTTTCTTTACTTTGCCATCTGGGTGGTACCTAATGGGCACTCCAGTAAGTCATATTTATTGCTTTTTAAATGAAGGATGATGAAATCTTAGTGACAGCAAATATGTCACATATTCAGTTTGTATTTAATTCTTCAAGAGACTATTACTCAATAAACAGAACACTATTGACTATATGAAATAGAAACATTTTGCTCTTCTTTTAAGACTATTTGTCAGTCTCCTTAGAAAAAGGCAAATCCCAAAGTAAATGTGATAGAATGAACCATTTTCAACATCTGTGTAAAATCTGCAAGCAAAGGGAGTTAAAATATAATTATACATTATTGTGGAAAGAAATTCCCTTTTTATTATACTTATAATATTATTGCAAATGAACAACTAAGCCAAAATCAGTCTCTTTATTGTAGGTTGTGGATTCATTAAGCATATAACAAGCACATATCACTTCACTAAGGGAACAACTATGCACTATCCCAAATTAACTCTATATGCTTTGAAAAAGTATTATATATCAGAAAATGGAAGCTTCTATGGCATCATGTGAAAGAGGAAAATTTTTATACCTACCTACTGAAGATGGTATATCTTTCCACACTTCAAGGATCTTCTTGAAGAGCTGTTCATTTGCTTCCATAGAAAGGGCTTCAGCATTGAAGGTGAGCATCATGCCAATTCCCAAGGAATCAGGTAAAATGATGATATTCTGTGGTATAATGATTTCCAGGGGCTGGAATTATGTTTCAGAAGGATTTATATGTCCAAAATTTGATCACTACTACTTTAATTGATGCAGATTGGTTGAGCAATAAAGATTAAAAGGGGGTTCAAAGTGCAGGGAGGAAGACCAATTTTTATCTCAATATTAAACAGCATGCTACCCAACACTTAAAAAGAACCTTCCTTATGTCATAAAGTCATCACTACTTAATATTCTTCTTTATATTTAGGAGAAATCTTTGTTTGAAAAAAGCAGAGATTTATTTCCAACACACAGAAACTCCTTGAAATTTTACAAAGTATTATGAATAATGATAGAATCATTATTACTTGTTATGGAGTTGGATTTCAGGACATTAATGAATACTTTAGTAATTAATGCATGAATCAAGTAACAAATACACAACAACGGGTTATACACAAACTCATTCAAATCAGAAAAGAAATAACTTAAGAATAGCTTGAACTTAAAATGTTTATAAGGGGCAGTTTTATATTCTTCACTGCTTGAAATATGTCATCCTCCCTTCACAAAAATGTAAGATTTCTTTTCAATTAATAAAATATTAAAATACCTTCAATACATAAATTCAGAGATGTATTAGGTGACAATATCAAATACTCAGAAATATCTAAGAATTTCTAAAATTCATGATGCGTAAAACAATGTGACAAAATTTACCTAAACTACAGATATTGTCATATTGATAGTATTTCCCTGAGAAATGAACAATTACATTCCTCTATCATTTCTCCAAATTAGTAAAATTACAGGATAAAAGCTCAGAAATTATACTTGCCAAACCCAGTGTACTCAGGCCAAGTGCTTGAGGCCATGTCTCAGCAACAACAATCCTTAAAACCAAAATGGGGACCCAGAGGCGAAAAGCAATTTTTATGCGTTCCCTGGGCACTAGCATGAGCAATTGAATCAGAAACTAGATGAAGGAAGAGAGAAAAATAAATTGCAAGAAAGAAGGTTGCCTCAAGAAAATTTGTTTAGAATAAAGGTGGACTGCTGTAAATTCAGACAGCCTGAGAGGTAGTTCTCTTGCTTCTCAGATAGTTCCTCAAGTAACTACATATTCTTTAATATACATGGCTTCCTTGTAGCATTACAGCATTTGTAATCTAGCACTCTTGAAAAAATATTATTTTTAGTACATGCTGTTTCAGAAGACACTCTCCCCAATCTTATATTAGAGTCCTTTCTCATTTAGTGGGCCAAGGCACTAGGGTGCTTAGCTAAAAATACTATTTTTGAATATACTTGAGATATCCTAATTAGGTCAGAAAAGTGTTGTGTTTTTTTTTAACTCATCTTCTCTCCTTTCTTCCACAATAATTACCTGATTGCTTTCAAAAGCAAATAATTCTCCTTGCTTAATAGTCAAGTGGAACACGGGGTTTAATCTCCTTGAACTCTTTGAAATAAGTGTAAACTTGGACAAGTGCTGCAATGTTCAATACTGTACTAGCTTCAAAATAACATTATCTGACATGACATTTAAAAATAAGATGCAGGAGCTATAGGAGATACCCCAACTGAAGAGTACTATAATATTTAAATAAAAATGAACTTGCACTTGCACCGATATTTAAGTGGCTTTAGCATGGCTTGGTTCAGTATTTTCCATATTATAAACAGGGTGATTTCTATATAATCATAGGTGACAACTGAGTAATCAGTTAATTATATTGTTCATATGACCAAACTTTTAAAAATGTCTCTACTAATGATCTATGTAATTTGTTAGAGATGTATTAAATAATCCTGAATATTATGCAAAATATCAGATTACTTTAGTGATTTAAAAGTACAGAAAGTCTTCTCTTGGACTTTTGTATAATGTAAATTGCTAAAATTTTACTTGTTGACAAACTGGGGAATTAAGAAAAGGTGAAGCAGATTTGTTGGTTCAGCCCTTTTTTTTCAAAAGAACAAATATCATTGCTATCAACAAATTTGAGACACAACGTAATTATATGTTGTATGGCATGTTTGTGGGAGGGGTATTATGTTATGTTCCAGATTTTTATATAAATAATGTGTACAGTGTTTTTACAACTCCCCATTTCTTTGATGTGTCATATTTTCACTATTTACAATTATTTAAGAGTTGAGGTGAATTAGCTTTTTAAATGCTGAATCCTTTGATCAGAAATTTTAATTATAATTGATACTACAAGAGAACTTTTTATGATAATTTTTATATATCACAGTTAAAGTACTACAATCTGAATAAAGAAGGGTGAGATACATAATAATGTTGCAATTGTGGTGGTGTCTTTTTTAGAGAATCTTTTAGTGCATTATAGGGAGCAGAAGGACTGAATTAAGGAATGCAAGCTCATATGCCTGTTAGTGCCAGTTATTATCCTATCTAATAATAGACAAACATGGTAATTAACCATACTTCTGCTACACTTCCCATTGGCTAATCAGGGCGAAATGCAAATTAACTGCCAACCGAGATGGCGGCCGGCAGCCAGGCAGCTGAAGCGAACAGGAGGCTTGCTTGCTCCAGTGATGGAGGAAGCCAAGGTTCCCCGCCTGCCGTGGCCCAGCTCTGAGCAGCACTCTAAGCAACAATGTTGCAATTATAGAAGCTAAACAAACCCAGAAACCTGCTTTCAGCCAGCCAGCCTCAGAGCTGGAGCCACAACAAAGTTTCAATTACAGAAGGTAAATAAAGCCCAGAATAAAAAAAAAAAAAAGAAAAAAAGAAGAGACTGGGAGCTTCAGTTGCAGGCTTGGCCCGCCTGAAAACAGCCATCAGCCCCTCATCCAGGCTGGCCAGGCACCCCAGTGAGGACCCCCACCCTGAAGGGGGTGCGGGCAGCCTGAAAACAGCCATCAGCCCCTCATCCAGGCTGGCCAGGCACCCCAGTGAGGACCCCCACCCTGAAGGGGGTGCGGGCAGCCTGAAAACAGCCATCAGCCCCTCATCCAGGCTGGCCAGGCACCCCAGTGAGGACCCCCACCCTGAAGGGGGTGCGGGCAGCCTGAAAACAGCCATTAACCCCTCACCCAGGCTGGCCAGGCACGCAAGCGGGACCCCCACCCTGATCCGGGACACCATTCAGGGAAAACCAGCCGGCCCCCACCTGTGCACCAGGCCTCTATCCTATATAGTAAAAGGGTAATATGCAAAGTGACCCTAACAGCAGAAAGACTGGGAATGACTGGTCACTATGACACACACTGACCACCAGGGGGCAGACGCTCAATGCAGGAGCTGCCCTCTGTTGGTCAGTGAGCTCCCACATGGAGGAGGTCTGCTCAGGCACAAGCCAGGCTGATGGCTGCCAGTACAGCGGTGGTGGTGGGTGCCTCTCCTGCCTCCTCAGCAGCGCTAAGGATGTCCGACTGCAGCTTAGGTCTGCTCCCCGCCGGCAAGTGGACATCCCCTGAGGGCTGCTGGGCTGCCAGAGGGATGTCTGATTGCCAGCTTAGGCCCAATCCCCTGGGGAGCAGGCCTCAGCCAGCAGATGGTCATCCCCTGAGGGGTCCCAGACTGTGAGAGGGCACAGGCCGGGCTGAGGGGACCCCCCCCCCTGCCGAGTGCACAGATTTTTGTGCACCGGGCCTCTAGTAAATACATAAAGATAAATAGGGAATGTATAGCATATATTCCATCTAAAAGGAGGCAGGCACAAATAATTTCCAATTGATAATGATTAGATAGTAATGTGGGTCTAATGTAGTCAGATCTTTTGGTTTATCAATACAAGTCCAAATATTTAAGTGTAAACTCTATTCATTTAAAAACAAAAAACATTGTGCCAGACTAACACTATTTGTCTACAGAACAGATATATTTATCTGGACTAAGAAACCATCAGTGATTTTTGTTTATACATTACTACTTCCTGGCACTCTATACTTACCTTTGAGGCCTCAATTTCAGTATAGATATTGATAATCATATTTTATTTCTTTAAGAGTTTGACAGTTGTAAAAAACTCAAATTGTGATAAACAATACTTTTCAAGGATCTTACGTTATTTGGCAGGGCCACATCAGACATAACCTCAGATTCTGCATCAATGATGTGATATCCATTTGCTGAGCTGAAGAAAATCTTTAGTCTTTTTTCAGAACCAATAGCCAGGTCAACTGTAACTGGCTTATGACCAAGTGTTGGAAATACCTGTAGATATAAAAGCAAATATGGCCAAAAGGCCAAAAATGACACTCTAAGGCAAAAATTCCCCTGCCCTTTGCTTAACAGGTTTATAAAACTCAGGTGATTGTAAAAAAAAAATCACATAATGTATTTAGAGACCTATGTATTGTAATTTTTATTAGATCTGGTACTACAATAAGAACATAATTATATTTAGATCTTAAATATTGAGTTTCCCTTTGAAGGTCAAGTCTCTAATAATCGTAAGAGGCTTGTATGACCCTGCACTCTGTTTGCTGTCTTTAAATTCCTTGCCTTGAGCTTCAGCAAATGAAGGAGCTCATCTGGTCTCTTAAAATTGTTCGCTGGATCAGCTGCCTGTATTTTTGCCAGAATTCGTATACAGGCTTCATAGGACATGTAGTCTCCTTTGGAGTCTGCTGATTGATCAATGCATACTTGTTAGGGAATGAAAAAGGCCAGACATGTTAACCTACCATAAACTGGATGTACTCTAGGCTCCTATGGTTGCTAGTTCAAGGAAACAAAAAGCCAAATAGGATTCATCACCAAGTTCAGGTCACAGTGGAGGACTGAGCATCACAGGATTCATCATACTGTAGCCATGTAGTAGTATTCAAGCATTTGGAATGAGGACTTGAACTAAGAACTGTGTATCAGGCTAGACAGACTGTTGGTACTTATCATCTTTGCTTTCCAGCCCCATACCAGGCAGCTTTGACCAATCAGAAGACACCCAAGAACAAACCCACATCCAAATACTGACAGCCAAACCAAAGCCCAATTTAGGGAGATCAGATCAGGGATGTGTCTTTGGAAGGGCAGGCCCAGAATGTCTTTATAGTATTCTATATTACTTATAAAAGAATATATTTATTTTGCAAATAGACATTGAGGGGCAGTCATAAAAAATAGCTTATCTTTATTGTATACATGTGATTTGTGATAAGTTTTGTCCTACAAAATATACCATGTGAAGAGATCTTAACCTAATATACAAAAGTATTTCATAAATACCTGGATGAGGTCTATCATGATGTGTTCTTACCAGCACTCTGTAAAAAATTTGTAGATGTACCAACTTGTTCAAAATTATCTGGTACATTTGCTAAATATATAGATTTCCAGGCCCCACTTTAGACCTACTAATTGGCTTGGGGTTGTGTCTGAGATCTAAACTTTTAGCAAATGAGCCAGATGATTCTGATATACACCCTAGATTAAGACTTTATATAATGCTGCTAATTTATTGATCAGTCCTCAATACTATGGACTAAGTATAAAATAATCCTATTTAAGTAGAATTCTGGAGCATTATAAAAAGACAATATAGAAAAAAGGAGTCCCCAGTTTATGAGACTAGATTAAAAACTCATCCGCAACCTAATTGTGTGGGATGCCAAATGGTTGCCTTAAGAGGCTGATCCATAGAAGTTTAGTTAAACCATATAAAAATAGAAATAATGCTGGTAATCAAAATAAGCCTAAGCACTATTCATTGCGATAGTTCTAGACAGAAATGTATTTGGAGTTTCAGCTTGGAAGGCATATAGATCCACCTTTCTCTTCCCATCCCCCATCTATTGTAGCTCTGGTAATTAAAGTAAAGGCTTTCTATCCCTTCATCCCTCTACCATTGGGTTCCACCCTCTAATATTGCCAAGCCTTTTCTTCTCCTCCATTTGCTCTCCACTGTCCACTAAAATTGGACAGGGACTTTCTCTGTTTCAAGTCATTGGGATGGCATACAAAGCCTGTGTTGGGGCTCTAGAAGAGAAGGTTTTTATGTGACTACAGGAATTGGGAGTGAGGAGATGGTGTGGAGGTCCTCTAATGGGAGGGATCAGGGATTTCCCTCCACTTTCCTTTCCTTTGGTGCCTGTGAATTGTCTAAAAATGGTTAAATGATAATGATTGACATGGTATATCCAAATTAAAATAACTAGAAGAATGGTATATATTTCTGCTACTATATTCTAAAATATTTTTTCTGTTTATAATTTTTCAAAATAAAAACATTATCAAAAGGAAAAGGAAACCACTCACTTTAATAGCAGTGCTTTCATCAAAGGACTTTGGTGCCCATGCATAAAGATGAATTGATGATTTCAAAGCAATTGCAATATATGTTGTTTCTTCATGTTGGACTACAGTGATAAAATACAAAGAAGTAACAATGCCACAGAGTTAAAGAGAACACTCAAGTATTTATATTTGCTATTGAAAAATTTAAAACCACAGTGTAAGACCACTGATCATATATTTTTAGAAAAGTTATCTGGTTACAATTTGTTGCTCTCCCCTCCCCTGCAAGGCAACAAAATCATTGTGTAATTTAATGGAGTGTAAGCATTAGCCTTCAAAAGCACTCAAAATTGTACACTGAAAACTACAGAACAGTGTTCAAAGAAATTAAAGAAGCCCTAAATAAATGGGAAGACTTCTTTTGTTCATGCATGGGTAGACTTAACATTGTTAAGAGGGCAATACTCCCCAAAGTGATCTACATATTAAATGTAATCTTTCTTGAAATCCTAATGACCTTTTATGCAGAAATGCTAATGTTGGTTCTAAAATTCACATGGAATTGAAAGAGGCCCACATAGCCAAAACCATCTTGATAAAGAAAAAAAAAGTTTGGGAACGCACATTTCCCAATTTCAAAACACTACAAGCTACACTAAGTAAAATAGTGTAGTACTAACTGACATAAGGATAGGCATGTAGATCAATGGAGAATTAATGGGAGTCTACAAATAAATCAATACATCTCTGGTCAATGATGTCAAGACCATTCAATTAGGAAAGAATAGACCTTTCAATAAATGTTACTGGGAGAATTTAATATCCACATACAAAAGAGTGGGGTAAAAGTATGTTTAAAGTTGTTCATATGGAAAATAATACAATTACTGATAAATAATAACACAAGAATGAACTCTGTGTACTCACAACTGTAAACCTACTTTTGCCCCACACTAGTTACACTAGTTATAGAATGCATGCTTAAAGGTGAGCAACACAGAAAATGACTTTAAAAAGAATAAAAATAAATCATAATGAATGGCAATGTTCTCAAGTGAAATGCTAAAATTTTGAACACAGAAAACAAAATAGATTTTTCTGAATTGAAATATGTGAAATAAGCTATTAAACAGCAAAACAACAACAACAAAAAGAAAACACCCAAAAAACAAAACACCACCAGGATGAATGAACCTTGAAAATACAAGTGATGGAAGCCTCACACAAAAAAAACTCATAATGTGTGATGCATTTAAATAAGTTGTCCAGGATAGACAAATTTATAGCAAAATAAAGTAGATCAGTGGTTAATGTGAACCCTGAGAAAGAAGATACCTAGCAAGAAAGGCTCCTAGTGGCTAACTTGGCTCAAATTTAAAAGCAGAGCCTAGTAGCTGTTTCTAAATAAAGGTCCTGCGCACAAACTGCACTTCAGGGAGAAGCCTACAATGAACTGCCTAACTGCAGTGTGTTCCTGACAGCTGAGCCAGCCCTTATAAAGGAATTTATGAAATTGTATTTCAGCCAATAGGACTGAGGCTTTCTCCATCCAATTGGAGTTGCACAGCTATATCCCTATTAGCATTTTCACCAACCAATCAGAGTGGGTCCAATTGACCATCAGGACATTGCCTTTGGGCCCAAACTGATAGGATTTTGAGTGCTAATTAGCATGTGGATGGACAAATCTTGGACCAGCTGTGGGGACTTCTGTCTACTAGTAAGTCAGTCTTCCTCTCCTTTGGATAGCACACTTTCACTTTTCATTGAAGGCTAAAGACCACATTTCCCAGATGGAACTGAAACACCTAAGACCAGACCAGAGCAGGTGGAGCAGACCAGACTAGAGTAGATTTGTCTAAGCCAGTGGTCGGCAAACTGCGGCTCTCAAGCCACATGTGGCTCTTTGGCCCCTTGAGTGTGGCCACGAAGTTTCAATCGCACTGTACGTGTGCGCCCTCACGTGGTATTTTGTGGAAGAGCCACACTCAAGGGGCCGCAGTTTGCCGACCACTGTTCTAGGCTGAGAGGGAACTAGCTGCAGGGCTGTCCCTCCTAGGGCTGCATTGCTCAGTGCCTCTCCCCAAGGCCTCCTCACAGCCATGCTGTTTCACAGACATTCTGCTTCATAATTGAGCTGTAACACTATTGAGCTGTTCCACAGCTGTGCTAGCCACAACTTATTACAATTGGCTGTGTGCACTGAATAAAGTTTCCTTTTTCACTGCACCCCAAAATGGGAATGCCTGTTGGCATTTAATTGGAACCACGGACCATCGGGCAACATTACCCAGGATTGTGAGAGGAGAATAATGTGAATGTAAGACTAATTGAATGTGGAGAGGTTGCTAATGGCTATGGGGTTTTATTGGGGGTGGACAATGAAAATTAGATTAAGGTGATGGTTATTATACAACTCTATAAACATTCTAAAATTGTATACTATTAAAGGGGTACACTTTATGGTATATAAATTATTTCAATAGTTTCTACTTTGTGCTCTTACTTGGCAGTGACTTTAATTCTGTCCTCTCTAGCCAGACTTCATCTGAGACCAATATATATAATATCTCTCTCTCTCTCTCTCTCTCTCTCTCTCTCGTTCTTTTTTTTTTTTTTTGCACTGTTCCCAAGATGGTCAAAGAAGTATGATTACTACGCCCCCAACAAGCAAAGGAAATCCACTGTTCCATTTGTCAGTAGGGCAAATATTTTTGTTTTTTAAGAACAGGGATGGGTTGAAATGGGGTCAGCCAGAAAAACTAGACTTAGCTAGTCCTTCCGCTTACCAAGAGCCCAGATTTGCAAGTTGGTTGGTTACCTTTGTAATCTCTCTCTCTCTCTCTCTTTAAAAAAATATATATTTTATTGATTTCAGAGAGGAAGGACGAGGGAGAGAGAGAGAGATAGAAACATCAATGATGAGAGAGAACCATTGATCTGCTGCCTTCTGCATGCCCCACACTGGGGATTGAGCCCACAACTTGGGTATGTGTCCTGACCTGGAATCGAACCTCAACCTTCTGGCTCACAGATTGTCACTCAATCATTGAGCCATGCCTGCTGGGAAACTCTCTCTTATTGAACTAAAATATTTATAAGTTGGTGGTAAGCAGTTCTGTTATATAAACTCCTGGGTTAACATTGGGGGATGTCATTCACCTCTGGCTACAAAATTTGCATAATATACTTTGAAGGAAAGTAGTGATACATAAAAGTAGAAAAGCCTGGTTAATGTGGCTCAGTGGTTGAGCATTGACCCATAAACCAGGAGGTCATGGTTTGATTCTGGTCAGGGCACATGCCTGGGTTGTGGGCTCAATCCCTAGTCAGGGGTATGCAGGAGGCAGCTAATCAATGATTCTCTGTTATCATTGATGTTTATATTCCTCTCTCCCTTTCCCTTCCTCTCTCTGAAATAAATTTAAAAAATTTAAAAAAGATAAAACTAGAAGAAAGTAATGTATTTATTTAATGCCCAATTCAGGTACTCATTTCTCTCTTCAATGGTGTACGTGTACACATGTACACACATATGTAAATCTATCCTGGGAAAGCCTCATTATATGCAGAGCAGAAATGGTTAGTCAGGATAGAAATACCCTGATGCAACTCATACTAGGTGATCCCACCTATCTCTTACTTATGTCACTAGTTCTGCCTATAGGGGCAATTAGTGAAGAGGAAAGAGGGAAATGAAGGCTGAGAGTAGAGGAAATTTGCTTTAGAAACTGAACAAAATGGGATAACATTACTTCCCAGTTGTTGACAAATTGAGAGTAGGATTCTGAGACCCTCGAGTTATTACTCCATTTCACAGTGAATGATTTTGAAGAGGCAGGGATATGAAAACATTCTAATCAGACAGGAAATATTAAAGAATCATATTCATGAATCTCAACAGTGGGGAGCAAGAGCCAGCAGACCATAGGAGACTTTTTCTTTTGACTTATTGTAGAATTTCCTCATCAGTGTTAAAAGGGATTTGCTAATTAAAAATAAAATGAATTATTATATGATTCTATTTTATTGCTATTTAGAGGAAAGATAATTTCCTATAAATAATCTTGTATGTTATTGAAGAAACACTAAAGCATTATATAGTTGAAGTTATATAGGAACAGGAAAATAATAGTTTATATGGAGTTATTAGAGAGACTGAGAAGAGGAAAAAGGTGAGAAAGTAAACCAAATTTAACTTCTATAGCTATTTCAGTCAATCTATATTTTTTCAATAACAGCCATAATTGTGGCATAAAAATCCTGGAAAATGTGGCAATAAAATTCACTCATTTTTGTATATGAAGTTGAAACTTTGCCCTTTCTCTGCCTTTCATAACAATGTACTTCACCAAGCGAAGGGAATCAAAATTTGTATACTATAGTAAATATGAAATGGGACTTACGAACACTGAAGTGTTCACAGCCTGTCAACTTATCAATAGCTTTGCAGGCTTCCTCTGTCTTTAGCATTTCCTCTTGTCTTCTTTTACTTTCTGGATCATCATTCAAAATCTTGTTCCTCAGCCAGGTCAGATGATACACCCGAAGTCTGTTTTTATGGCCTGATGGGTTAAAAAACAACATAGTGTTTCAATCTATTTTCTTCATATACTAAAAGAATAAAAAGTAAAGGCATTCTGCCTTTGTAACCAAATGTTTTCATTAGGGTAAAAAGCACTTTTAAAAAACTATATTGCATCAGTCTTCCCTTCCAAGTTTGTAAATGTGATAGCAATGTTTCTCACTTCCAAAAGTTAGTAAAAGTGTCCACCAGCTACCTATGTGCCTGTCTGAAGTGAATGTAAAATATTTCTTTGGGGCAGATTAAGACTGCCACTGTGCAGGCAACAGAATTACCATCCATTCATTTGTATCTTGGCTTTCATCTAAGTCATGATCCTTCTAGGATTCAAAGATGGAGAAACTGTCCCTGGTATTGGGTATGAATGAGAGGGCTGCCTCATGTATTCACTGTTAGACATTCAGGGACAGTGGGATGGATCTCTCTGTGCTCTTTCATTTTGGCATATTTACAAACTAGTTGAATGGTTTTATTATTTTTTCTCAACCCAATTTATCTTTAATATTAATTTTCTAATTATAAATGCCATCAACATTTTATAATTCCTTCAGGAAAACCTGGCCATTAAAATTTCATGTTTCTTTTTAGTGGTTTTATATTCATTTTAGGGTTTATGATTAAAAGATTTCTAGGCCCAATAATATGATTCTTATTTATAAGATAAATCTTAAATATAGCTTTATATGATACTTTAAAAAACAATGTTAGAATTCAGACATCCATATCTGTTGTCATTCTATTCTTAAATGGTAAAATAAATGTGTGCACTAAACTATTAGACATATTTATACACTGATGTTCTCTGTACTATCTGAGGCAAAAATAATCCACATTTGAAAAAATTTTCAGCTTTAAAAATGGCACATTTAGGTTAGAGAAAACTGAATAAAAAGTAAAACACTGTGTTATCCAGCCACCCAGGTATTTTCAAATGTTGCTAAATGTTGCTTTTATGTACATCAAGCAGTTATAAAAGGATGACTGTATAATCTGATAAAAATTGTGAGGTTTTAGCATCTATAGAGGATTTTATTCTCTTACTAAAACTTAAAGCAAAGTTAATCATATTTAAGAATACAGATAAATATTAATCAATGTACAATATGTCTATTAGGTATAAGCTGGAAGTATATAAACATATCTAAATGACTGCATTTAGCATCATTTTATTCTACACTCAAACCATTTTTAAAATTTTTCTGTCCTTTTGTCTGCCATCTTTGGCCTATAGTCAGTTTTAATGCTAACATTACTAACATCAATATACTTGCTCTCTCATATTAAAAGGTTCAAGCTCAGGCTGACCAAAGCTAAGAAATTCAACTACTGTATGAATAGAGTGGAGAGGCCTTAGAGCAGTGGTTCTCAACCTTCCTAATGCCGCGACCCTTTAATACAGTTCCTCATGTTGTGGTGACCCCCAATTTCATTGTTACAAATTGAACATAATTAAAGTATAGTGATTAATCACAAAAACAATATGTAATGTTCGACCCCCAAAGGGGTCGCGACCCACAGGTTGAGAACCACTGCCTTAGAGGATCCAGTCTAGTTACTAACCCTATCCATAGGCTTTTATGATAAGCTTGTGCCAGGGACAACACAGTATCATTTTTATCTATTTACTTCATTCTTTGTTGCTTCGAATACATCACAAGAAAGGTATATAGTGGACGTTAGTGTGGTTATGTGTGCATGGGTGGGTGAAATTGTGAGTTGTGAAGTAGTAGGTGGATAATAAGAGAAATTGTGAGTTGTGAAGTAGTAGGTGGATAATAAGAAAAGACCTGAGTGCTGGCCAGATGGCTCAGTTGGTTAGAGCGTCATTCTGGCATACACCAAAAGTTTGCAGGTTCAATCCTTGTCAGGGCAAGTAATTGAGACAACTGATCAATGTGTCTCTCTCATCTCTCTCGTATCTCTCTCTCTCTCTCTCTCTCTCTCTCTCTCTCTCCCGCTCTAAAATAATTAATAAAACACATGGCTTTTCTTATAATTGACCTAGGTTAGGTGTATTGCAATCAAATATACAGATACCAAAGGAAAGTCAGAAGTTAGTTTAAATTATAAATAGGTTAAAAAAATACTAGTGGAAAGTCTGGTGTCCCAAATAAATGTGATATTTAAAGTGCTTTCCTATTAACACCTTCTCCTGAGAAAGTCTTTAACCCAGTTTGAAACCTAATTAATTTGTATAATTATTCAGCTAATTTTAGTTCTTAAACAAACCCGAGATAGTAATCAGCAAATTGAGTGGCTCTACAACTTGAATCTGACGAAATGGTCTTCGTTTTATAAGTTTTGTAATATCTGCCTTTCCACTTCTGTCCATAAGATACAGATTAGATCTGGTTCCCAACAGCAAATTCACTCCTGTTTATATATAAAAAGAAAAGTTCTATATTAGCTCAGATTATATTTTTATAATTAACTTTATATTAGTTAATTTTATATAAGTATTTTTGTTATGCCAATGTTCTGATTTATATAAAGGTGGCGTATCATTTTAGGCTAATGTTAACCTTATTCTGTGTAAAAATGGAATGTCTACGAACAGAACAAATTTCATTGAAATACATACAAATATAGAAGATAATACCCTTTGGCAATATTGTACTGGCTGGTGTCTAGTGTGCCATATTTTATCTCAGAACCCTTAGTTGTGTCCCAAACTTTATAAAAATCAATCAACCCCTTGGAAAGTTACCATTAAATATTAAATATGTCTAGCACCTACAAAGATATCAATTCAGTTGATTTCTCATTTCTAACTATATCTATGGGTTTTAATGTTTTGAAAATAATTATATGTAAACTGATTTAAAATGGAATGATTCTGTGTTCATACTACATATATTAAAATATTTACATTGCAAAAAGTCTATTAAATTAATCCCTACTTCTGTGTATTTAAATTTTGACACTCTTTTCTGCTGGTTCTAGTCACTCAAAAAACAATAACAAACAAACAAACAAAAAACATATAAGCACTGTTTTAAAATACCAGAATGACAAAACTGAAATAGAAGATTAAACTAAAGTTCGAATGTACTTCAAACCACTGTGGGAGTTTTCCTCCATATCCTAAGACACAGGGGAAAATCAGCAAGGTAATATAAGAAAGATTACTTCAATATGTTCCTTCTTGGAGAATATTTTTCTCTAGGGGTAAAGGCAAGGATCTCTGCCTTCATTTTCCCATTCTGTCTTTTACCAGTTCTATAAGTAATGCCTAGACCAGTGGCAGATTTACAAACTACATTTTTCTCCTACAGGGGAATCTGAGAGGGAGAAGGAAATGCAGTCAATTTTTACTGTAATCTCTTCTTTTTCAAAATAATTTTTCACAAATAATGAAAATTAATTACTAGGCATGAACTGGGTAGTCACCTGACTGAAATGATAATGAAGTAAACTTGGGTTTCTTAAATCTGATACATTACATTAGCAAAAACTTTGAGGATGTTAGGTTTTAACCTAGGCTGTTCAATCCTTATAACTATAATGTCCACTACATTGCTCTATTTTTAATATAAAGTTCTGTCCCATGTTCAATCATACATGAAGTAAAATCTATGAATTTGAAAATTGGAGATTGGCATTTCCTTTGGATTTCTCCCCTTCTTCTGTTCATTTATTGTTTCATTTATGCTATAAACTGGCTTAAGGTAAAATATTGTCTCAGCACTACTAATATGGTTATATTAGTAATTCATTCTTCTGGAATAAAGGACTGAAAAAGTCTATCAAAGATATAGAAGTAACTTTCTCAACAAATTCTCAAGATTATTTTAAAACAAGAACTTGCAGAAATATTTCTTGTAATATCTCATTAATTATATGCTGCACATCTTATACTAAAACATACTAAACTCAAAAATTTTAAAAAATCATAACCTAATTCAATTTTATATTTCAGTTCAGTTAATTCAGGTTAAAAAGAAAAAATAGAATAAAAAGGTAGGAAACACCAATTCAAACATCAAACTACATTCAGTGAAGATAAATCAGCAAAAAGGAGCAAATTAATTATATAAATATATTTATTTAATTTCTTGGTAATGATTTGGTAATAGAAAATAAACGTTTTATACCTATGATTTTTTCACAGCTTTATTACATAGATAAAATATAATCTTCAAAGAAGCAACAGCTCATTTTAAAGAAACCAAACTCACCCCACAAAGAACCACAGCAGATCTCAGAAGTAAATTCCTTTTCATACATGTGGATTAGTGGTTTTTTACATGCAGTAGAGACATATAGTGGGTTAACATTTACTTCAGAGGTTTTCTTAGGTGATTTCTCAGGTACTTCCACTAATCCAGTATATACTGTGAAGAAGTAAGGAGATTATATTGAGAGAAATTACTAATGTTTACATAATACGTGCTTGCGTGTTTCCACAAATGAGACACAGCCCTGATAAGTTCCTTTTTTTCTATGGCATTTTATTTTTTAAATGTAGGTATCATTTCTGTAACTCCTAAACCATCAGATAACACAAATCATGACAGTTAAAATACATTTCTGAATATAAATGTATTTCAAGTTACTGTGCTTAGATTGCAAAAAAATTACAAATGAGGGACTCAATTTTTCAATTGTAGTTCAAATTTAGGTGCCATATAGACTCAGAGAAGAGTAGATTTTTAAAGCTTATATCCATCTGGCTTAATGTCAACTGAATATCAGAATGATTTAATTCTTTTCAAATCCTGAATTAGTGGTCAAACCCTGTATTTAATATGTGAAAAGACATCAGCGTTTGGAGATTAAACACACTTACAAATGGAATTGGCAAACTCAGTATTTGTAGCACTCCCAGAAATGTTGAAAGGAGATGAGTGACTGGCAGAAAAACCTGATTCTGTTGATGCTTCTGATATGTCTATACTGTCATTCTCATCGTTAGGTGTTGAGGCAATGGCGTTTGAGGTCCCACTTCTGCCAACTGATTCCTAAAAGATGAAAAATTAATTTTGATTTTATTAGGAACTTACCAGTGAGAGAAATACAATATTCCTGGAGTTCATTTGAAAAATAGAATGCAAAATTTGTTAATGTCTATAATTCTGCACCTATATAAAATGCACATTTGCCAGATGAACCCAACAATTTCATCTGAAAGAGAGACACAAGTTATGTTGAGATAATTTATATCACAGGATAAGTTCAAGGAGCTTGAAGTCTCTAACTATAAAATTTAGAAACCTAACATTTGTGGAATTTTTACTATGTACTAGGTACTCTGCTGGACATCTTATTTACATTCTAGAGGCCTAATGCAGTCCAGGGAGCAGGCCTAAGTTGGCAGTCAGACATCCTTAGTGCTGCTGCAGAGGTGGAAGAGGCTCCCACCACCACTGCTGTGCTTGCCAGCCATGAGTCCAGCTCAGGGCTTCTGGCTGAGTGGCACTCCCCCTGTGGGAGGTCCTGCATTGAGTGACTGGCCCCTAGTGGTCAGTGTGCATCATAACTGGTTGTTCAGCCTAAGCTGTCAGTTGGACATCCCCCAAGGGCTCCAGAACTGTGAGAGGGTGTAGGCTGGGCTGAGAGACCCCCCCAGTGCACAAATTACGTGCACCAGGCCTCTAGTTCTTTTCTTTTAAATATGTTTTTATTGATTTCAGAGAGGAAGGGATAGAAACATCAATGATGAGAGAGAATCATTGATTGGCTGCCTCCTGCACGCCCCCCACTGGAGATCAAGCCTGCAACCTGGGCATGTGCTCTTGACCGGATTCGAACCTGGGACCCTTCATTCCTCAGGCTGACATGCTATCCACTGAGCCAAAACAGCTAGGGCCTTGAGTTCTTATATATAGCATCTGTGTAGCTGTCTGAGTATTTTTAACCTATTTATAAAGTCAGCAAACCTTTTGTGAATGACAAATCATCATGTGAAAATAGTTTGTTACTTAGGCATTAATTGTATGTGTGAACAGTTCCTTACAAAACTAAAATAGAATCTAGCAATACCACAATATCAATTACACATCTAGCAAGTCCATTTCTAGGTATGTAGTCCAAAGAATTGAAAACAGAGACTACAACAACAGATATGTATATACCAATTTTTTTACAGCAGCATTATTCATGATAGCAAGCAGCCTAAAACAACCCACATGTCTGTGTATGAATGAATGGATAAACAAAATGCAATGTATTCATACTCTGAGACATTAAGCCTTAAAATAAAAGAAATTTTGACATATGCTAAAACATGGATGAACCTTGAAAATATTATGCTAAGTGAAATAAGCTAGACAGAAAAGAACACATATTGTATATTTCTGCTTAATAAGGTATCTAAACAAAAAGTAGAATAGAGGTTACTAGGTTTTTGGAAGAGAGATAATAGAGTTAATTGTTTAATTTTTAGGGATGGTAAAAAAGTTCTTTAGGGAGACACAAAGGCGGCAGAATAGATGGATGTGTCCCAAGCCTTGTCATGAGCAAATAGAATGAGCAGCTGAAACAAATAACATCCAACCCAAATTGGTAAAGGAGACTCAGCTGGTGAGACAGTTTGCAGCCAGGAAGGGCAGAGGACCCTTGGAGAAAGGTAAAATCAAGGATCTGGGCAGGAGAGTTTGTCAGACCTCTGAGCCCAGAGGGTCAAAGGGAATCTGCACAGCACCGAGCCAGGAACAGTGTCTGACTGTGGAAAGAAGGTCCACAGGATGCTGGAGGCAGGGGATTCTAGATCTGGGTCCACAGTCACAAAAGACTGAGATCAGAGGGGGCAGCCTGAAGGCTGACCAGACAGCACAGTGCTGGCAGGCGAAGAGCTTGCAGAGGCACAGTCCTTCCCCTCTCTGTGGCTTGTGCTTTTCTTCACTGAACCTATTTCATAGGACCTTTCGGTTACTGACACTTACCCATGGCTGAGGTGTGGTAGAAGGTGTGGACTTGTGGAATCTTGGGAGAGGAGGGGGTACAGGAGAAGTGGCAGCAAGTCTGACACTGAGTCATACCTGAGCCTGGACCTGGGCAGCCATTTTGTCCTGAAGAGACAGCCCCTCCCTCTAGTCTCCAGGCAACCAATACAACCACAACCAGATTCCACCCTGAATGGTACAAAGGATTAAAAAATAATCTGAACAATCCCTGAGAGTCCATAGGGACAGGCCTAAAGAAAGATCTTCAGTCCCAGCAACAGGAAACTGAGAAACAGTACAATACAGAAGACTGGGATCTTAATCCAGCCAAATGAATGACATTTCACTTTTTCATTTTTATTTAATTATTATTTTGTTATCTTTTTTTTCTTCTTTTTACTTTGTTTTCCTGTTTTTGTTTGTTGATTTATTTTCTATTTCTTTTAGCATTATTTTTCCAACCTTCTATTTTATCTTATTTTTATTTGCTATTTTTATTTTTATACCATTTTTGAAATATTTTTTTGTAAATTTATTATTATTCTTTTCCTCTCATTCTCTTTCTTCTTATCCACTCCTCCCCTTTCTACTTCCTCTATACTGACTTGTGGTCCTCCCCATATTCATCTAATTCTTAACCTTATTTTCTGTATATAAGCTCAGCCTCTACAGATTCTGCCCCCACCCTCTTTGCTGGGTGTTTGTATATATTTTTTTTATTTATCTATTGGTTCTGTGGTGTTTTCCATATATATATATTTTTTTCTTCTTTATCTTGCTTTTTCTTTTCTCTCTTATCTTTTTCTCTCTCTTTGATATCATTTGTGCTTTCTTTTCTCTCCCCTAATTCTCTTTGCTCAGGTGGTCACTTATTCACTTATATTGGGGTTATTGGTGTCATGCATACATTTGTGCTTTGTTCCCTTTGTGTTGTGTCTTGTCGAGGTGAATTTTATCCAGTCTGGCCAAGGTGCTAGAGAGCGAGCCACATAAGCAGACACCTGGAGAGGAAACTCCATCCATGAATGGGTCAATAACACCCCAGGCCCAACTACAAAGGCAGGAAGAAGGCGGCAGTGAGGGAGAGAGCATGAGTGAGTGAGGGAGCAAGTGTGAGTGAGGGAGCAAAAGAGGAGTGTGTGGTTGGGTGAGGGGTGTGTGTCTGTGTGTGTGTGAATAAGGCACAGTTAGATCCCGCAAGACCTTCGGGGGCAGGCTAACTGGGCTTTCCTAACTAGACAGCCTCTGCTACTGTTGGAAACAGTACTGGGAGGCTGGCTCATCCTCAGAGGCCTAGCCTTTTTGAATGGGAGAGCTGCTGTAACTGGGAGCCCAGCTTCAACTCTAACCAGGATGCCCTCAGATAACATCTGGGACTCGGTAGCCAATCCCTGCCAGGGACCTGCTATCTCGACTGTGGTCTCACGGTCAATGAGTCTCCAGCCACGCTGGGCACAGGCTCCTGTGAATTCTGAAGCATGCTCACCTCTGACCGGCCCAACGCTTTAGCCCAGGGCACTGCAACCAGATGAGCATCAGTCACATGAGAAGCTGCTCCACCTTCTGAGGAGCAGCAGCTGTATGAACAGCCCGCCCCCATCCGAGGAGCAGCAGCTGCCCGAGCAGACCGCCCCCGTCTGAGGAGCAGCAGCTGCCCGAGCAGACCGCCCCCGTCTGAGGAGCAGCAGCTGCCGGAGCAGACCGCCCCCGTCTGAGGAGCAGCAGCCCTGTGCAGACCACGCTGGTCTGAGGAGCAGCAGCCACACACAGCCTGCACCAGTCCAACGAGCAGCAGCCGAGTGAGTGGCCCACCCATGTCCAAGGAGCAGCAGCCACACGTGCACCTCACTCCCGCACAAGGAGCAACAGACATGCAAAAAGCCTGTCCCCCATCTGAGGAGCAGAAGCCGTGCGAGCAGACCGCCTCTGACTGAGGAGCAGCAGCTGTGTGAGCAGCAGCCCTGCAAACAACCTGCCCCTGTCCAAGAAGTGCCAGCCTCATGAGCAGCCCATGCCATCTGAGGAACTGCAGCAGCACACAGCCAGCCCGATCTAAAGAGCAGCAGCCACATAAGTATTCTACCCCTGTCCGAGGAGCAGAAGCCACGTGAGTAGCCCGCCCCTGTCCAAAGAGCAGCAGCTACGCGCAGCCTGCCCGAATCTGAGGAGCAGCAGCCTCGTGATCAGCCCACCCCCATCCAAGGAACAGCAGCTGTGTGAGCAGCCTCTCCCATCAGCCAGAGGAGACACCACTGCTGCGAACAGCACCCACCAGAGGAGCTGCTGCCAACTGAGGAGCAGCCGCTACCTCAGATGATTTCTCAACATCTGCAGCCAGGAAGGGCAAGGAGCAACCACATCCCGAGGAGCCACTGCCACCAAGGAGCAGCCACTGCACGACGTGACATCTAGATCTGTCAGTGAGACCAAAAATGGGTAGACAAAGAAGCTCCCAAAGGAAAGAAAAAGAGAAATCGCCAGAAAAACAGCTAAGTGAAAGAGAGGCATGAAATATGTCAGAAAAATAATTCAGAACGAGCTTCATACATTACATAAACCAGATGGATGAAAAATATAATCAACAACTTATGTAAGAATCAAGAAGAAATTAAGAGTAATATAGCTGCAATAAAAAACACCAAGGAAAGTTTCAACAGTAGACTAGGAGAAGCAGAGGACCAAATTAGTGAATTAGAAGACAGGGAAGCAAAACACACCCAAACTGAACTGCAAGTGGAGAAAAAAATTAAAAGACAGGAGGAGAGACTAAGGACGCTATGGAACAAAATGAGGCAAAGCAACATAAAAGTAATAGGGGTGCCAGAATGACAGGAAGAGGAACAAGGGTTAGAAAACCTATTTGAAGATATAGTATCAGAAAACTTCCCTGATGTGGGGAAGAAAAAAGTCACACAAGCACAGAGTCCCATACAAGATGAACCGGAAAAAACCCACACCAAGACACATCATAATTACTATGGCAAATGTTCAGGACAAACAGAGAATCTTAAAGGCTGCAAGAGAGGCAGAAATTTACATACAAGGGATCTCACATTAGATTATCAAATGATTTCTCAACAGAAACACATCAGGCCAGAAAAGAATGGAAGGAAATTTACAAAGTGATGCAAATCAAAGGACTGAATCTAATAATTCTCTACCCAGCAAGGCGATCATTCAAAGTTGAAGGGGAAATAAGGAGCTTCACACAAAAAAAAGACTAAGGGAGTTTATCACTACCAAGCCAGAAATGCAAGGAATGCTAAAGGGACTGGTGTAAAAAGAAGAAATAAATAGGTAAGAAGGAACACAGTCACAAATAATAAAAATGGCTACAAACAAGTACCTTTCAATAATAACTTTAAACATAAATGGACTAAATACTCCAATCAAAAGACATCAAGTGGCTAAATGGATAAAAACATTAAAAAAACATATACATGCTGTCTACAAGAGACCAACCTCGGAACAAAGGACTCACACAACTGAAAGTGAAGAGATGGAAAAATATCTTTCAGGCAAATGGAAATGAAAAAAAAAAGCTGGGGTAGCAATACTTATATCTGATAAAAGTGAAGGCCATAACAAGAGATAAGGAAGCCCACTTCATAATTCTAAATAGATCAACACAACAAGAGGCTATAACCCTGATAAACATATATGCACCCAATGCAGGAGCACACAAATACATAAAAAAAATTCCTTGGAAGATAACAAGGGAGAGATCGACAACAATACAATCATAGTAGGGTACTTTAATACACCACTGACATCACTGGGTAAATCCTCCAGACAAAAAATCAGCAAGGAAACAGCAATCCTAAATGACTCACTACATCAGATGGACTTAATTGACATCTTCAGAGCTTTTCACCCCAAAGCCACAGAATATACGTTCTTCTAAAGTGCACATGGGGCATTTTCAAAAATAGATCACATATTGGGTCACAAGCAAAGTCTCCCCAAATTCAAGAAGATTGAAATCATATCAAGCATTTTCTCAGACCACAGTGGCATAATATTAGAAATAAACTACAATAAAAACAATAAAAAAATTCAAACACTTGGAAGCTGAGTAGCATGCTATTAAACAATGATTGGGTTACCAAAGAGATCAAAGAAGAAATTAAAAACATCCTGGAAACTAATGACAATGAAAACACAACAATCCAAAACCTATGGGACACAATGAAAGCAGTCCTGAGAGGGAAGTTTATAGCTCTACAGGCCTACCTCAAAAAACAAGAAAAAATTGTAGTAAATCATCTAACTCTACAACTCAAAGAATTAGAAAGAGAGCAACAAGAAAAGCCCAGAGTGAGCAGAAGGAAGGAGATAATAAAGATCACAGCAGAAATAAATGACATAGAGACCAAAAAAAATAAAAAAAAAATCAATATAAAAGATCAATGAAACCAAGAGCTGGTTCTTTGAAAGGATAAACAAGATTGATGAACCTTTAGCCAGGCTCACCAAGAAGCAAAGAGAGAGGACCCAAATAAACAAAATCAGAAATGATAGAGGCGAAATAACAACAGACCCCACAGAAATACAAATGATTGTTAAAAAATACTATGAACAACTCTACTCCAACAAACTAGACAACCTGAAGGAAATGGACATATTCCTAGAAAAATACAACCTTCCAAAACTCAATCAGGAAGAATCTAAAAATCTCAATAGGCCAATAACTATGGAAGAAATTGAAGCAGTCATCAAAAAGCTTCCAGCAAACAAAAGCCCAGGACCAGACGGCTTCAGAGGGGAGTTTTACCAAACATTCTAGGAAGAATTAAAACCTACCCTCCTCAGACTACTACAAAAAATTCAAGAGGAAGGAACACTTCCAAACTCATTCTATGAAGCCAGCATCACCCTAACACCAAAACCAGGTAAAGACAACACAATGAAAGAGAATTACAGGCCAATATCCCTCATGAACATAGATGCCAAAATCCTCAACAAAATCTTAGCAAATCAGATCCAGCAGTACATCAGAAAGATCATACACCATGACCAAGTAGGATTTATCCCAGGGATGCAAGGATGGTACAATATCCGAAAATCAATAAACTTGATACATTACAAAACCAAATTGATTGAAAAAAAACACATAGTCATATCAATTGATGCAGTGAAAGCATTTGGCAAAATCCAACACCCATTTTTGATAAAAGCTCTCAGCTAGGTGGGAATATACGTATCATACCTCAACATAATAAAAGTCATATATGACAAACCCACAGCCAACATCATACTCACTGGGCAAAAACTAAAACCATTTAAACCATTTCCTCTAAGAATAGGAACAAGACAGGGATGCCCACTTTCACCACTCCTGTTTGGCATGGTACTGGAAGTATTAGCCATTGAGATTAGAAGAGAAGAAGAAATGAAAGGGATCCAAATTGGAAAAGAAGAAGTAAAACTGTCCTTATTCGCAGATGACATGATATTGTACATAAAAATCCCTAAAGACTCCATCAAAAAACTATTAGACTTAATAAATGAATTCGACAATGTAGCAGGATACAAAATTAATGCCAAGAAATCTATGGCATTTCTATACACCAATAGTGAACTTACAGAAAGAGAGACTAAAAAAGCAATCCCATTTACCATCACACCAAAAGAGTAAATAAATAAATAAATAAATAAATAAATAAATAAATAAATAAATAAGATACCGGGGAATAAACCTAACTAAAGAGGTAAAAGACCTGTACTCAGAAAACTACAGGACGTTGAAAAAAGAGATAGAGGAAGACATAAACAGATGGAAGAACATACCGTGTTCATGGATTGGTAGAATCAACATCATTAAAATGTCCATACTACCCAAAGCAATCTATAAATTCAACGCACTTCCCATTAAAATACCAAAGGCATATTTCATAGACCTAGAACGAACTCTCCAAAAATTCATCTGGAATAAAAAAAAGACCCTGAATAGCTGCAGCAATCCTGAGAAAGAAGAATAAAGTAGGAGAGATCTCAATACCAGATATCAAGCTATATTACAAAGCCACTGTTCTCAAAACTGCCTGGTACTGGCACAAGAACAGACATATAGATCAATGGAATAGAGTAGAGAACCCAGAAATCAACCCGAACCAATATACTCAACTAATATTTGACAAAGGAGGCAAGAATATACAATGGAGTCAAGACAGTCTCTTCAATAAATGGTGCTGGGAAAATTGGACAGATACATGCAAAAAATGAAACTAGACCACCAACTTACACCATACACAAAAATAAACTCAAAATGGATAAAGGACTTAAATGTAAGATGGGAAACCATAAAAATACTAGAGGAATCCAAAGGCAACAAAATCTCAGACATATGCCGAAGCAATTTCTTTACAAATACATCTCCTAGGTCCGTAATGACTAGTAGTGATAGTTGTACAACATTGTGAATGTACTTAATTTTACTGAATTCTATACTTAAAATACTTAAAATGGAAAAACTTGTTATGCATATTTTACCAAAGTAAAAGCTTCCTATAAAAAAGTATGTGTTAAAACAAGCATGTGATCTGAGTAATAAAGGCAAATAAAGCAGATATTCTTGTTCATGAAAATAAATAGTAATCATCCAAATTAGAAGAATCAAAGATCCACCTACAGCTATAATTAAAAATATTTAAGGCTTTGTTCTGAAGTTTAAAATATATATGGAATGGCTGAAAATGTGACATATCACATGAACAAACACATTCACAAGGAGAGTAATTTATTCTCCTTTTCAAATGGTGAATTACCTCTTGTTGATGTTCATTGTCCTGGGATGTTGGCCTCTCCAAACCTGGATCATCTGTCTCTGAACAACTTTCTCCTTCACTGAGTTCAAAGACTTCACTCTCTTCATTGGTTTCATTGACTCCCCTACCTCCATTGCCCTCCATGCCTCTTCTCCCACTTCCTATATTGGCTTTATCTTCTTCGTGATCTCCCATAGCTGTATTGTCCCCACTGGCTGCATATCTTAAATGGCTTCTACTGGTTCTCTGGCTTCCATAGCTGCTGCAGGTACCTTCTCCTCCATTATCGTCATCTCTACCATTTTGCTTCCAGCTTGCACCTCTGCCATAGCTTGACCTGATAACAAGATTCAATTAATGATCAGGGAAAAGCAACCCAACAAAAACATGTCTGAAAGTCAGCAAATTAAACTGAATTAAAATGTGTTGCATACATAGGTACTATCTCTAGGCACATTTTTGCTCTATGTGAATATTGGTAATATTTAGATAAGAAATATGTCCTTATGTCCTTTCAGTCTTATATACTGAATTAACACCATAGCTACCATTAGTTCCTTAGCTGCATTTGGATGGCAGATGGAAGATAACTTTAATCCTGTATTAAGAGCATATGTTAGGTTGGTAATAAAAATATGTATTTTTTAAAATAATAGACTATTTTATGTATTAGCAAATTCACAGGCACATGAATGATCAAGCCCATACTCTTGACTCAATCACAAGATATTTGAATAATTCTTCTTGCAGTATATATAATTTATGCTAACGTGAACATGTGCCTTGTTTTTCTAACATGTGTGTCATTGCTCTGCTATAGAATCCCATTCTATGGCACCAGGAAGGGAAGTAATATAGATTTAATTAAGCTAAAATAGTAATTTAATTAGCTGCTAAGAAAACCAAGCTTAACAAAATGTCTCAATGATCTTTTGCATAACAGGCATCCTAAATATGTACCTATTATAACTCTAAAAGCAAATTTATTTGGCCTGGAATTCCTGGTAGAATTTTAGTTAGCAAAAAAGAAAAAAAATGCCTCTTCTGTCATATATATCCCCCAATAAAATTAAAATTGAACCAAAACAAGATATGGATTTCAATATTATAAAGAAAACAATTCTCCCACTGTTAATTATTTTTATACAAATATAAAAGTATAGTAACTACTATTCTTTGAGATATGTTTGAATACAAGCCATGAGCATATGTAAATAAGAACACAGTGGCTATTTAGAGCAGGAGCAAGGACTAAATGCATACATAAAAATAACTGGTGGGATGCCAAAAACACTATTTCACTAAATATTATCATTTTGGGCAGCTACTTTATAAATAGATAAAATTTAACAAATACTGAATTTAGTTATAGCAATTTTCAGCATTCCAATAATGCCATGTTAGTAAGTTTCAGCCTCAAAATATGAGTGAAAGTCAAATTTTTATTCATCTTAAAGCAAATTTAGATATTTTGTTTGAAAATACTAGGGCTTCACTTTATAGCTTTAAATGAACACACTACTAAATTTGTCATCCTCATTTCTCATACTTATTGCAGTTTCACAGGGCAGGATGTTTCAGTAACATTAATGTTAACAGGTGACTTGGGGTGGTGAATACACAATACAGTGGACTGTGCAGATGATGTGTTGTGGAATTTTGCACCAGAAACCTGTATGATTTTGTTAACCAGTGTCACCCCAATAAATTCAATAAAAAGGAAATGAACAGAAAAAATAAATGAGGTTTTTGTTTATAAAAATTAAAGAATCTAATACTTGAATATTAATAAAATACAGTATAAAATAAAAATTAAGTGTTTTCATTGAATAATAATATATTATTAAAAATCAACATTTACCCATATGCAAGTGGAATTCCTTCACTCACTTAGCAATAAATTTTGCAAGTAAACCAAAGATGCAAATAGTTTTAAAATTATAAAATATAGATAATTCAAGTAATCCAGAAAAAAAACAACCTTGGCCAACTAGGAGCATCATCATGATTATTGCCTTTGTCATCAACACCTTCATCATTGCCATCATCATCTTGGTCTTCACCAACATCATTAGCCTGACCAACATGGTTATCCAAGGCATCATTGCCATTGTCATGCTCATAAGTATCTTCATACACATCATTAGAATCATTATCATCACCATCAGTATCAATACCAGCATCATAGAGTTCAACATAATCACCATCTTCTTCAGGTGGCTGAATGAAAGGTGCAGGAGTTAACCAATCATTCCGGAAGATTTCAGAGAGTGCATTATAGCCTACCCATTCATTTGTCAAATAAACGGGGGGTGATATTTTTCCTACTTTAAATCCATCTGGAACCTGTGTGCATAAGAAAGGTTAATGTAGTTTCTAGTATCCTTGCAATTTCATCTACATTGAAACATTTCCAAGCTGACAATATTTTAAAAATATATTTCCAATTGAAATGAAGACAAAACCAACATTTTTGTGATGATGAGATAACAAAACCCAAACCTCAAGCTGTGATCATTAATGACCTTTCTGGATGACACAAGAAAAAATTTACTCATTTTGAAATTACCCTTACTTGTCTTCTGAAGGATAAACATTAGGTTTTGGTGCTAGAGAGTAAAACAAATTATTTGATGCACTATAGAAGATAGAGTATTTTTTTCTTTTGTTTTATTCTCTGACATTGGGATTAATACATACCTCTTAAAATTGATATGTTAATTTCCAAGCTTTAGTTTTATACAACATAGGTTGTCTTAAAGTAACTCAAATACTTTTAAGCATATTAATATAAATCCACATTTAAGTATGTGATGTATCATATAAGCAACTTTTGAATGAGCTACAAATGATGTGTGTGTGTGTGTGTGTGTGTGTGTGTGTGTGTGTGTGTGTGTTAGGGTAGGAGTAATTACAAAAGTAAAATCTAATGATCTAAAAGCACTTTACACAAAGAATTGGAAGACTTTTTATGTATTCAGTTGGAGGGAATTTTCCTTTTCTTTACTTTTTATACATTGCCTGATCATCCAAGAAATGATGAGACAAAAATTGAGCAGCTAGCCTCTACTCCTTAATTTGAGATTAGCTTCTAAAAATAGTTCTTTTAATAATCTTCTCTTGAATATGTTCTGACACAAGAATGTGAAAATAAAATATTTTAATCTTTATTTTGAAGTATTACAGCTGTCCCCTCTACTTTCTCCCATTGCCCTCCTCCATCCAGTTCCCGCCCCACCCCAGTCCTTTACTGCACTATTGTTGTGACCATGGGCAATGCATATATTCATATAAGTTTTTTTGGTTTATCTCTTCCCACCCCCTTTCCGTCTGAGATCTTTCAGTCTGTTCTATGCTTCCATATCTATTGTAATATTTTGTTTGTCAGTTTATTTTATTCATTAAATTCCACATATAAGTGAAATCATGTGATATTTGTCTTTCTTTGACTGAGTTATTTCGCTTAGCATAATACTCTCCAGGTTCTTCCATGCTATCTCAAAAGATAAGAGATCTTTCTTTTTAATAGCTACATAGTATTCCATTGTGTGAAGGTACCATGACTTTTTTATCCACTCATGTACTGATAGGCACTTAGGCTGTTTCCAGATCTTAGCTACTGTAAATAACGCTGCTATGAACATAGGGGTGCATATATATTCTTTCTGATTGGTGTTTCAGGATTCTGAGGGTATATTCCTAGAAATGGGATCCCTGGGTAAAAGGCAGTTCCATTTTTAATTTTTTAGATAACTCCATACTGCTTTCCATAGTGGCTGCACCAGTTTACATTCCCATCAACAGTACACTAGAAGCATTCCCTTTCTATATCCTCACTTGCTGTTTGTTGATCAATTAAATGTTCTTCCATTTCAAGTTTAATTTCTAGATTTCATCTTGTGCATACTCACATATCAATAGAAGTCTTTAAAAGATTAACTTAAAAACTAAACACTTTAACCTTTCCCTCAAGTAAAGATAAAAATAAGTCAAAAGAAATTTAAAATGAAAAAGAACAAACATAAATGTATTATGAGTTAAGATGGAAACCTACATGGATATCAACCAGCAACTTCTGATCAATTGTAGAATAAGGAGGTGATGACTGTGACCTTCTCCTAGTCACTGGACTCTCTTCCTTGGAAGACTCTGTGGAATGTCAAAAAGGCATTAGTAACAGTGGTGATCACAGCAATTGCCTTCATTTTTATAGTGTAACTGTTCTATCTCTTCGTATTTTTCAAGTAACTTTTCATTCAGGAAATATCACCTGATAAATTCTCATGGGGCTAGGATTCTTTGTTCTATTTTAAGTGACAGATACAGGCTCAAGGTTTGTACTGCCTATAGAACTACATGGCTATTCTTTATTTCCTGTTTATTTAATTTATTGGGGTGACACTGGTTAACAAAATTATACAGATACATGTCTATTCTGTTATCAATATTAAGGCTACACTTACTAAGCATTTCTATCTGTGTAAGAAGGTGCACAGTAAGACTGGTAGACAGATAGTTCTATTAAGAGAAAGAATATATTAAAAACAGGAAGAGCAATGTGGTATCACTGGCCTGCCAGAATAACCAGTACAAAAAGAGCCCAACAGCATATTAGAAGATGATAGATTAGACCAGGGGTCCTCAAACTTTTTAAACAGGGGGCCAGTTCACTGTCCCTCAGACCGTTGGAGGGCTGGACTATAGTTTTAAAAAACTATGAACAAATTCCTATGCACACTGCACATATCTTATTTTGAAGTAAAAAACAAAATGGGAACAAATACAATATTTGTATTTGCATGTGGCCCGCGGGCGGTATTTTGAGGACCCCTGGATTAGACCAAACTCTCAAGAAGAGAGTTGACTGCAATCATTATCATGCCATTTCCACTAAAGGATATAGCCTTAAGTATTTCCATATAGGTGAGAAGTGAACAACTGAAAAGAGACAAAACTTAGCCCTTTTTATAAAGCTGGGAACTTTTCTATAGTGGTGCTGTGCAGTAGAACTTTCTTTAGCAATAGTAATTTTCTGTATCTGTACTGTCCTATACAGTAGCCACTAGACATACATGGCTATTGAGCATTTGAAATATGCACAGTGTGCCTATGGGGTTGACTTTTTAATATAATTTTCTTTTCATTTAGGTTTTAATTTTAACAGCCACATGTAGTTAGTTGCTATCACAATGCACAGCTCAAACTTGTTGTGTAAATATTTCTATTTAAAATTCAAATTTATCTGGATTAGAAGTCTGGATTTTTGAGATGAAGATTTGTGGTATAGTAATTCACACCTGTGATTTAAATCCAGTGGTAGTATGGGTGAGTGAACTTTGAAAAAGCTTCACTAAGGGGACACTCAGGTCCCTGTTTATTGTTTTTTGTGCACTTGATTTTAAAGATAAATAGTACTATCCCACTTTTATTTTCAGCATTGGTATATATAGCCAAAGTATTGGTACTGCAACTCCAGAAAACATGTATTTGCATACACTGGTAACTTTTGAGAATATTATGCTGAACACACCCTACAATTTGTGTTTCCATCTTCTGACACTGTTGTATATTTGCAGTTTCCTATCTTTCTGCAGGAAACCATTTTCTCTCAAGTCTCTGGTGTGTTATTAGGCTAAGTAGGAATATTAGGCAAGTGTTTGAGATTTTGAGGCAAATTTATAGTATGTGTTCTCCTTTCCTACATGTTGAAGTATGCTATCCCATGGGAACTTAAAATGTTCTATGTAGCACACACAATAAAATAATAGAATTTTAGAGCTGAAAAGAACTTTAGCTATTATCTACACAGTTGCCACCCATTCCCTTCTCCTGCTAATCACGGTTCAGACTGCTTTGGGGCTTAATGCAAGATTTTCTTATTTCAAAAAAGGTGGTAGGAATAAACACATGCTCACAACTACTTCATCTAATATTTCCATATACTAAAGACAACCTATCAAATTAAGCTTATTGGAGAGGCCTCTCCCAAGTAACTTTCCCATATATTTCACATATATTATAGAAACTAAAGTAGACACACTCCATCTCCCTAGACACATCCATAGCTACTATTCAACTGAAAGAAGAAACTTTTGAAAAATCAATTTTCTTTTCTAATATGTCACCATCAAACAACCAATTGCCAAATCCAATGGCCTCCTGGTTTTAATCCTATTTGGACTCCCTGACACTTTCAATTAATTTCTTTTTCTTTTCCCTTTTTCAAATATATTTTATTGATTTCTTACAGAGAGGAAGGGAGAGGGATAGAGAGTTAGAAACATCGATGAGAGAGAAACATCGATCAGCTGCCTCTTGCACATCCCCTACTGGGGATGTGCCCGCAACCCAGGTACATGCCCTTGACCGGAATCGAACCTGGGACCCTTGAGTCTGCAGGCCGACGCTCTATCCACTGAGCCAAACTGGTCAGGGCCAATTAATTTCTTGTTGAAATAATTTCTTGACTTCTGCAATATAAATTGTGAATCATTAGCTGTGTTTTTACAGTTTGTGCTTTGAATCACCTGATGTTGCTGGGCAATTTTGAGGATTTTGCAAACTTCTTTGTCTGGTGTCAATGGGCTTCTGAACTTGTTCCAAAAGAGACCACTGAGGAACACTAATGAAAAGACAGAAAAGTATGTTTTATTTCCTAATATGTACAATGCAATGTTAGGGCCAACAAAAAGTTTTGTTTAAGTATATGGGCATATACCAAACTGGGAAGAAGTAGACCTTATATTTTCCAATTTCCACTTTCCCCCAAACATGCTATTTTATCTTTAACAAAGAAACAATTTCCAAAATATAAAAAAAATGTTCCCATATAGTCATGTGTTTCTTCCACATATCATATTTACTTCTAAAAATGCCTATAAAATTTCTTTAAGCAAGTATTCAGACATTAATAAAGTAATACATCAATAAATATAACTTTATAGTGTACAGTATGTGAGGATTTCAACATGATAAAATGGTTAATATATGCATGTTTTAATGTAAAATATTCCACTATTATCATCCTGATTTAAAATGCTTTAAATCCACGATTTTTAATGTCCACTTCCCATTATAGATAGATAGATAGATGGATGGACACAGATAGAACACTTTAATATTAACTATTCAAATTCAGAGAGTATTTAGAAAGATTTTTGGAACCAGTGCTGCTAAATTTTATAGTTGCTTTGGAATTTCTGCATAGGAAAGACTATAGTTATTAATTTAAGATTGGGACAGACAAGATTTTCTATAAACCAAACTTTCAGGAAAGACTGAAGTTTCATTTAAATCAATTTTAGAAATTTAAGCATACTTAAAGTTAATACATTTGTTATCCATAATTTCAAAAATTATTTTGTCACATGGTCAACCAATTCCAGTTAACAGAAATAACAATTATATATATATATATATATATATATATATATATATATATGTATAATTTTATTAAAGTCATACCCCATGATACTGAAAAAAGATACACAAAACTAAAGTGGTTTCTTCCCCTCTTTGTGGCCAGAAGGACCATGACAATTCATTCATTGAATACAGAGAAAGAGAACGTTCCCAATCTAGGTTTTAAATTTTCTAAGATTTCTACACATAAAATATAAGGACATAAATATATGGACTTTTAAAGTATAACATGGTAGGAATATGCAAACTATACACTATCAACTCTATGCCATCTGGACATGTGGTCCAGTATCTTGAATATAGTCAGTGCTCAATATTTACTGAATGACTGAGTGAATGAATATAGACTAAGTTGTTCCCATAAATTGGGGTTGGAGGGGGTATGATTTTCAAGGAACATTTTCATTTACATTTAGCTTCCAAATATAACATACTGCACACAACATCTAAAATATGAAACATGAAATTTGGAAATTATTGAAATTTCACCAATATTACAGAGATAAGAATTTCTGTGACTGGTACAAACTATCACTGATATAATGTTGAGTTTCAGATTTGATTTTTCCCTATAGATCATTTCAGGCTTGCACATTCTATGTCATTAGCTTCTGAGGTTAGGGATTATTTATATGTATGTTTTATCACGTAGTACATAATAAAATTTGTAATTGAAGTATATGATACAAATTAAATTATACTTGTTTTTATTATAAATTACCAATTGAAAGCTGTCAAAGAATTCATTGTTGTTACTTTTATTAAATTGGGGATCTTACCAACTAACTATCAAACTAAATGACACTGAGAGGGCATACATCCAAATGTGAAATATCTAGTTAATGGATGATTGAAATTAAGGTTTTAAATATGGACCATTGATGATGATGTTATTATTGATATTTTAGTTTTAACTTAACACAGAACTTAGTGTCAAATAGATAAGCTTTAATTTTCCATGTGATAGTAAATAGTGAGTAAAAATATCAGAGACACATACCTTGAAGAGAACATGATGTGGTGTGCATGATCCCGGTTATAAGGCACAGAAGTACATCTTTCTTGGACCTTAAAAACACAATGCAATACTTTGATAGAATTCTCCATCATAAATACTTTTGAGTTTAATTTATGGAAAAATACCTTTCTTCATATAGAGATATTTTCTTAAAAATCCAACTTATAAAATCCAATTTTTATAAATAGATTGTATTTTCAAAATTATTTATAACATTAGAACTGCTTAACCATAATTTCTGATGATAGTTCCAAATCCTATATAATAAAAGGCTAACATGAAAATACACTGAATGGCGGAACAACCGAACAACCAAACAATTGAACAACCAGTCACTATGACATGCGTTTCCCACCAGGGGGCAGGTGCAGAACATAGTGGGCATTGGCAGCAGGTGGCAGAGAGCAGAACATGGCAGGCATTGGCTGCGGAGGGATGGCAGAGCAGGTGAGCGGGGGCGCCAGACCAAGGCGGGGCACCGGTCTCTGTCATTGGGGTGAGCCGCTGGTGGTTACTGAAAATTCTTTGCTCCTGTGCACCACGGTTCCACCCGGCACTTGCACCTGCTGCCGGTGCCAGCCCTGCTCGCACCCACTGCTTGTGCTGGAGCTGCCACTCACACTGGCTGCCAGCCCCTGGTGCCCAGCACTGGTCCCGATTGCTCAGCTCTGTCAGTGGGTGGAAACAGTGGCTGCTGATCCGATCGCCCCTCAGGGCTTCTCCACTCCCCCTGCTCCTGAGGGGCAATCAGGGCTGGCAGCCGCCTCTCGCACCCACTGCCAGTGATGGTCCCACTCACACCCGCTGCCAGCACCAGAGCCGCCACTCGCACCAGTTGCCAGCACCTGGCATCAGTCCGGATAGCTCAGCACTGTCAGTAGGTGCAAGTGGAGGCTGCCAGCCCTGATCACCCCTGAGGGCTTCTCCACCTCCCCCTGCTCCTGAAGGGTGATAGGGACAGCAGGCAATGCTCGCACCTGCTGATGGCAACAGCCTCACTTGCACCTGCTGCTGGTGCTGGTCCCAATCGCACCGTGCTGTCAGAGTCAATGGGTGTGAGCAGGGCCAGGGCCGTCAATGAGTGGGAGAGGCGGCAGCGGAAGTGGGGCTGCAGGCAGACAGGGGACTGGGGGCCGTGGTGGGAGGGACCGGGCGGGGGTGCGGAGGACGGGTTGAGACCCGCCCCTGTGCCCACCTCAGCCTCGTGGCCCACAGTTCCTTTCAAGATGCATAGATTCGTGCACTTGGCCCCTAGTAAGTATTATAAATTCTTTGGTTTATCTCTCCTTGTTCCCCCACCATCGAGGTATGTCAGTCTGTCTCATGGCTCCCTGCTTCAGGTCTTATTTTGTTGGTCAACTCATTTTGTTCATTAGATTCCATATATAAGTGAGATCATGTGATATTTATTTGTTCTCCTCAGTTTGGCTTATTTCATTTAGTATAATAGTCTCCAGATCCAGACATGCTGTCCCAAAAGGTAAGAGATCCCTGTTTTTTATAGATGCATAGTATCCCATTGTGTAAACGTCCTAAAGTTTTTTTTATCTATTCATCTACTAATAGGCATTTGGGCTATTTTGAAATCTTAGCTATTGTAAATAACGCTGCTATGAACATGGGGGTGCATATACCAGGTATTCTTTCTGATTGGTGTTTTGGGTTTTTAGGACATATTCCCAGAAGTGGGATTGCTGGGTCAAATGGCAGTTTCATTTTTCAGTTTTTGAGGAAACTCTATATTGCTTTCCATAATGGCTGCACTAGTCTGCATTCACACCAGCCGTGTAATAGTGTTCCCTTTTCTCCTCAGCCTCACCAGTGCTTGTTGTTTATTAATTTATTGATGACAGCCATTCTGATAGGTGTGTAGTAGTGATATCTCATTGTGGTTTTAATTTCTATTTCTCAGATGATTAGTGGCTTTAAGCATTTTTCCATATGTCTCTTGGCTATCTGTATGCCCTCTTTGGAGAAGTGTCTATTCAGGTTCCCTGCCCATTTTTTAATTGGATTTTTTGTCTTCCTTTTGCTGAGTTGTATGAGTATTTTGTATGTTTTGGAGATTAATCCCTTACCAGATATATCATTGGCAAATATGTTCTCCCTTACAGTGGGCTCCCTTTTCATTTTGATGGTGGTTTCTTTTGTGGTGCAGAAATTTTTATTTTGATGTAGTCCCATTTATTTATTTTTTTCCTTTGTTTATCTTGCCCAAGGAGATGTATCAGCAAATATTCTGCTACGTGAGATATCTGAGATTTTACTGCCTATGTTTTCTTCTAGGATTTTTTTGGTTTCCTGGCTTAAATTTAAGTCTTTTATCCATTTTGAGTTTATTATTGTGTCTGGTGTAAGTTGGTGGTCTAGTTTAATCTTTTTGCATGTATCTGTCCAATTTTCCCAATACCATTTGTTGAAAGACTATCTTTACTCCATTGTATGTTCTTGCCTCCTTTGTCAAATATTAACTGGCCATAATGGTGTGGGTCAATTTCTGGGGTCTCTCTTCTGTTCCATTGATCTATAAGCTTATTCTTGTGCCAGTACCAGGCTATTTTGATTACAATGGCTTCTTATTATAGTTTGATATCCAGTATTGTGATACCTCCAACTTTGTTCTTCTGTCTCAAGATTGCTGAAGCTATTCAGGGTCTTTTATTATTCCACATACATTTTTGGAGTATTTTTCCTAGTTCTGTGAAGTATGCTATGGTAGTTTAATAGGGATTGCATTGAATCTATAGATTGTTTTGGGTAGTATGGACATTTTAATGATGTTAGTTCTTTCAATCCATGAACATGGTATATGCTTCCATTTGTTTGTATCATCCTTTGTTTCTTTTTTCAATTTGCTATAGTTTTCCAAGTACATGTATTTTACCCCTTGGCTGAGTTTATTCCTAGGTATCTTATTTTGTTGTTGTTGCAATGGTAAATGGGGTTGTCTGTTTAGTTTCTCATCCTGAGAATTCATTGTTTGTGTATAAAAGTGCATTCAATTTCAAAATGCTGATTTTGTATCCTGCCACCTTATTGAATTCATTTATTAAGTCTAGTAGTTTCCTGGTAGATTCTTTAGGGTTTTCTACATACATTATCATGTCATCTGCAAATAATGACAGGTTTACTTCCTCCTTTCCAATTTGGATACCCTTTATTTCTTCTTCTTGATTGATTGCTATGGTTAGGACTTCCATTACTATGTTGAATAAGAGTGGTGAAAGCAGACATCCTTGTGTTGTTCCTGTTCCTAAGGGAAATTCTTTTAGTTTTTGCCCATTGAGTATTATGTTGGCTGTAGGTTTGTCATATATGGCCTCTATTTCCACTTTGCTGAGAGTTTTTATTTAAAAAAAGGGTGCTTGATTTTGTTGAATGCTTTTTCTGCATCTATTGATATGATCATGTGATTTTTATCTTTCACTTTGTTTATGTGATGCATCACATTTATTGATTTGTGAATATTGTGCCAGCCTTGTATCCCCAGAATAAATCTTACTTGATCATGATGTATGATCTTTTTAATATATTGCTGGATCTGATTTGCTAATATTTTGTTGGGGATTTTAGCATCTGTGTTCATCAGGGATATTGGCCTGTAATTTTCTTCCTTTGTAATGTCTTTATTTCATTTAGTTTTATATCACTGGGTTTATACTCAAAATAGTTTTTAGCTACCCCCAAAATAGTTGTTTTGACATTCAACAAGGAAGTCAGACTAGATTCTTTAGAAAGGAAAATTCAAGTGTTACAATGTGAAAAAATCTGGCATTTTCATGCTGATAAAAATCATTCTATAGTTTCTAGAAACTGTCCTAACCTTACGAAACTATTTTTTTCTCTGTGTACTAACTTACCAAGTTTGTCTTTTCACTACCACAGACAGATAGATAGGAAATTAAAAAAATGTCAGTTGTTCATATGTTTTGCTAATGAGTTTTTCCAAATACAACCACATATCTGGCAGTATGCAGAATAAGCATCTGACTGACTTTTTCCACATTCAATTCTGATAGCTGGCATCATATTGACTCAGGCTAGGCCTCTTGATTCATGAAGCTGATTTCAGAGAGTTTATTGACACTAGTAAAACAGAGGCCAACATTACATAGATGAGATAAAGGCCAAAAATAATAAAGGCTAATGTTTAATATGAATTGGCTATATTTGGTCTGAAAAATGGGGAGAAGATAATGATTAGTAGGAATAGCATATACTAAGACAAACCAATCAGACACAGCTCATTATATTTCTTTCCTTGGGTGTTATGTTAAAGGTAGTATTTATTATCTGGGAGTAAGAGTAAAATCATCATTTTATAAGGTAGAGAGGGAGATATATTGCTGCTTGTAGCTAAATAGTACAATCCAGCTTATGTTTCTTCTGCCTGTGTTTAGTAAGTATTTATAAAACAATACTCACTTCAGAGGACTCTTAGTATCAGAAAAAAACCCACATATTTAAAAAGGATAATTGCCCATTACAAATATATGAGTAGACTACTGTGAAGCATTCTGAATAATAAATATAGTAATCTGGGGCCTTTGTGCTGATTAAGAACAACAATGAAACTTATGGCCCACTATCAGTAAGAAGTTTTGAGTTTTCACCCATCCACCTAATGATCCTTAGTAATTAAGAAATTTATAGATGCGTAGCTGTTAGAAATGTTAGCTATGATGATACTATTTTGTCTGCACATGAATTTAAATTGCAACTTGAGCCTCAGCAATACCATGTGCTATACAGCTATTAATATAGCTGCGAAAACAAAAGCCAACCTGGACACCAGGACTTCATTATTCCCCAAAGTGTAAGAGAATAAACCACAAATTAGATGAACCAGACCTTGTCATAAGCTACATCCCAGAACAGAGATGATCAAGGAAAAATATATGTATAGTTGGGTGAGAAGGGTGAAGGTATTAAGCCAAGGAAAAATGAAAGACTCATAGACACAGACAACAGTATGGTGATTACCACTGGAAAGAAGGGTGGGGGAGGTAGAAGAAAGGGGAGGTAAAGGGAGGATAAATGGCGATAAAAGGAGATTTAACTTGGGGTAGTGAAAACACAATATAATATGCAAGTGATGTATTGTGGGATTGTATACCTGAAACATGTATAATTTTATTAAGCAATATTGCCCTAATAAATTCATTAAAAAAGAAAACAGAAAGAAAAATTAAATTATTTTATATTTAAAGTAGCGGCCCGGTGCATGAAATTTGTGCACATTAAAAGGGAATTAATTAGAGGAAATATTTTAATATTGCTATTTGCCCTTTCTCTACAATAGAAGCATCAGAGATGAAAGAAAATTAGTAAAATGTATATGAAAATCTTCCTTCTGTCAGAGTCTGGGGTGCTCCGTGGGACCCAGAGTCAAGTCCCCGCCCACCCGCACGCACCTCGAAATTGTGTGATGACCCAGACCCAGCCTGCCCCATCCTTGTCAAGCCCCACTGGGCAGGGGGTGCAGCCTCAGGTCCCATGGCCTGGCACCAGGCAGGGGGCACAGCCTCAGGTGCCCCATCAAACCCCACTGGGTGGGGGGTGCAGCCTCAGGGTCCCTGGTGCACCCTCAGGTCCCCTGACCTGGTGCCATGGCAGGGGGTGAGGCCTCAGGTCCTCTGACCTGGCACCGGGGTGGGGGGCGTGGCCTGAGTTCCCCTGTCAAGCCCCACATGGCAGGGGACACAGCCTGAGGTCTCCTGTCAAGCCCCGCCGGGTGGGGGGTGCGGCCTGAGGTCCTCAGGCCTGGGCTGGGGCGGGGGGCACACTTTGAGGTCCCCTGTCAAGCCCCACCAGGCAGGGGGCATGACCTGAGGTCCCCTGTAAAACCCTGTTGGGCGGGGGGCATGGCGTGAGATCCACCGTCAAGCCCTGCCAGGCAGGGACCATGGTCTGAGGTCCCCCAGCCCAACCTGGTGCCATGCAGCCTCAGGTCCCTGCTGATTGCTTGTTATGAGAACCCCGCCTCTGCTGTGTGTGCAGCCATTTTGTGTTACAGTAACCCTGCCTCTACTGTGGGAGCAGCCATCTTGTGATGGCATGACAGTGTGAGGGTTAATTTGCATATTACCTCTTTATTATATAGGAAAAGAGATCCTAAGACCAAATACTTTAAGAACTACTAACCTAGGCACTTATTCATGGCAGTTATTAATGTTATAAGCTGAACAATCAAATTTTATAGGCAGCATTTTTAGTTAAAAGAATGACTGACAAGACAAACTATGACTATTCAACTTGGGTATGTAGCCGGCATTTTATTTAAAATAAGTAAAATAAAACTGTCTACTCAAAGAAAAACAACTAATGTTATTTGTTAGCAATAATAAAATTGAGCATTCAATGAAAACTAAAAATGTAAAATCCTATCTGTCACCATGCACTTTACAGCTTATCAACACTCAATAATGTTTATGATGAAAGTGATGGTGATACTAACAAGTGCTGTGTGTTGATGTTGTATAATAAAACATAATGTGCAAACATTTGGGAAGATCTAGATAAACAGTGAACCAATATTTTTCAACTGAACAATACATAAAGTTACAAAATCCTGCATGAATAAAACATCTATTCATAGTATATAAGAGACCAATAGATTTTAATGTTACCAAATATACAAAATTTAATTAATATGGTTTTAAATTCCACTTTTCCAGTGTTTGTGTATTATCAAAGAATATCCACAATTATCTGAAAAAGCTATAAAAATTCTCCCTTTCAAACTACCTTTATGTGAGAAACCAGCTTTTATTCATATACTTTTACCTAAACAACATATTTCTCAATAAAAATTGTTTCTTAGTTTTATTTTTAAATAAATTAATAAATATTTTAATTCTTGTTTTAATTTATAATACATTAAATATTGAATGTCACAAATCACATACACAAAAGTTTTTTGGGATCTGCAATTTTTTAAGAGTATAAAAAGATCCTGAGCCCAAAACACTTAAGAACCACAGTTCTAGGCACTTATTAATGTCATAGCAACTAATATTGAGAAATTTACCTCATTTCCTTTAGGATTTGGTACGTATGGCTGCAATGGTTCTATTTGGGCTTCAGCCTGAATTGAATGAAATACTTCATCATTGTCTGATGATTCATCTTCTTTGTCCTTTTGAAATAAAAGGAAAATAATTATTTTAATTGCTGTTAACATGAAAATTATAGGAACAACTCCATCATCCTGATTCATAATATAAATTAATAATTTTCAAATATTAAAATTGATTTAAACCAGTAGTTTATACTAGTTTTTGGCTCTGGGTCTCTTTCAGAATCTAATGAATGCTACAGATTATCCATAGAAATCAGTATATAGACACACATATCTCCATATATATTCAGGAGGACTATTGACTGCTTTCAGCTCGCCTATTAGACCCAGATTAAGAATTTGTGGATTCGCAAGGGTATATGCATTCTTATCTTGATTGCACCATTATTCACAGTGACCAAGACAACCAAAGTGGCCTTTGATAGATGATTGGATAAAGAAGATGTGGTACATATATACAATGGAATACTATCGGTCATAAGAAAGATGAAATATTGCAATTTGTGACAACATGGATGAGCCTTGATAATATTATGCTAAACAAAGTAAGTAAAAAAAAAGTTAAGAACCATATGATTTCACTCATATGTAGGATATAAAACTGAAACTCATAGACGCAGACAATAGTATGGTGGTTACCAGAGGGAAAGTTGTTGGGGGCTAGTAAAGGGTAAAGGGAACCAGATATATGGTAATGGAAGATGATATGACTGCACCGGTGGTGAGCACACAATGCAATATACAGATCATGTATCATAGAAATGTATACTTGAAATCTATATCATCCTATTAACCAATATCACCCCAATAAATTTAAAAATAATCTCTGGTCTAAAGCTTAACTCATAACCCCAAATTGTCATGTTTTGTATGCATTTATAACTATAAAGTGTGGTCTTCTTGTGCAACAGAAGTTCTGAAATACAGCAGTGCAAATATTTTTCCTTAACTGAGCCCTGGGAGTTCACAAAAGTTTCTGTTTCCCTATTTAAGCCAGTCAATATTATTTCTTCTATTCAAATAGAGTAATAAAAATGTGTTTTCTTTGCTTCTGGTGAGTTGAAACTCTTACATATGTCTCTGAGTGCTAATACATTTTCAGGTATTTCAAAAGACCTATGACTTTGACTACAGTATCAATAATGTACACATAAAGATAGGCATGCCTGTACAAGATCATAGGGTCATGAGATTAGTAACTATTACCTATTATTTTTATTTTATTTTTAGAGTGGTTTCTCCCATATGTATTTAAAACATTATATTACAATAAATATGTGCATGGTACTAATACTAAAAGTTTTGCAAGGATGCATAAAAGTTTTTTTTCACAAATGTGAAACCAATTAGATTCAGGGCTGATTGAGAATAGTCATGAGCATTTTATTTATTTATTTATTTATTTAAAATTTATCTTTAGTGTTGAAATTATTACAGATGTCCCCTTCCCCTCACCCCCCATTGACCCCTTCTAGCCCACTTCCACCCTTTGCCCCAGGCCTTCACCACACTATTGTCTGTGTCCATGGGTTATGCATATATGCATATAAATTCATTAGTTAATCTCTTCCCACCCCCCATCCCCCCTGCCTTCCCTCTGAGATTCAACAGTCTGTTCCATGCTTCTATGTCTCTAGATCTATTTAGTTCATCAGTTTATTTTGTTCTTTAGATTCCACACATGAATGCCATCATGTGATACTTGTCTTTAACTGGTCATTGCCCCAATTTCAGGACAAATATCACCATTCTGGACTCATATCTTCTTTTTACTATCTGGTTTCTTTTTCTTCCTATCTCCCATTTTGGGGGTATTAGATTTCCCCTTTTGGGTCTTTCTTCTCTTGCTACTTTTAATTTTTTTCATGTTAAATATGTCAGGGAAATAACATTTGTTAAATTGGCTCAATGGGCACAAACCAAAAGACTCCCTTAACCAGACATTCAGACAATGTTCATGTTTAATTACTACATTAATTATTATTAGAATAATTGGGTGATGATACCAGGGTTTAATTTAGGAACCTCACAATGATTTCTTTTACATAAATACATGCTTTGAAGTATTAGAAAACAAATGATCTCCTAATATTGTTGACCTGATTAATTTGCTTATAAAGCTCACAAACCCTTCATTGTCAAATCAGATTTGTCACATTGAATTCATCAACTTTGGCCAATTATATCCTATATAATAAATAGGTAATATGCAAATTGATCCTCACACCCTTGCACAAGATGGCCGTCCCCATGTGGTCACAAGATGGCTGCCACAAGATGTCCAGCAGGGAAGGGCAGTTGTGGGTGATCAGGCCAGCAGGGGAGGGCAGTTAGGGGCGACCAGGTTGGCAGGGGAGGGCATTTAGGGGTGACCAGGCCAGCAGGGGAGGGCAGTTGGGGCGACCAGGTCAGCAGGGGAGGGCAGTTGAGGGGGACCAGGCCTGCAGGGGAGAGAAGTTAGGGATGACTGCACTGGCAAGGGAGGGCAGTTGGGGGCGATCAGACTGGCAGGGGAGGGCAGTTGGGGGTGACTGGGCCAGCAAAGGAGGGCAATTGGCGGTGATCGGGCTGGCAGGAGAGCAGTTAGGCATGGATCAGGCCAGCAGGGGAGTGATTAGGGGGCAATCAGGCTGGCAGGCAGAAGCGGTTAAGGACAATCAGGCATATGTCCAACTGTGTGATTGGACCTAAACCAGCAGTTGGACATCCCCCGAGGGGTCCCAGATTGGAGAGGGTGCAGGCTGGGCTGAGGGACACCCCCTCCCCCCCAGTGCACGATTTTCATGCACTGGGCCTCTAGTCCACTTATATAAGACAAATTTGAAAGAACAAAGTTTTTTGACTATTCCAAAATAAGGTAAAGTGATTAAGATAATGTGTCCCACATTTTGAAAGAGTGCAGAGACAAATTCGTATTGTGTCATATTCAATGCAGCCGCTTAATTAATTAATGATATAAAATTGGTGGAAAATTAGTGAGATTAGTCATACATATGGTAACTGTATACAAAATGCTTTGGAAACTGATTTTCCTCCTCATTTTAAGCTTGACTTAAACAAACAAGTAGTGCAGTTCACTTAAATGGTACAGTTAATCACTCCATGGAATGAAAAAGCAAATAAACTGACTTAGATGTTAGAGGAATGAAACCAAAGTGTTTTTTTTTTAATTTGCTTTTGTTGCTGTGTATTTTTAATACATTTTATTGGAAAGCTTTTTAATTTTTTATTGAATTTATTGGGGTGATATTGGTTAATAAAAGTTATATAATTATTGCAAAGTTTGAACTTTGGAAGTAATTTGAAAGATCCAACTAATGCATAACCCATAGACACAGACAACGATGTGGTGTTGGCCAGAGGGAAGGAGGGATGAGGGCTGGGTGGAGGTGGGCAAGGGGTAGGGGGATGAGGACATCTGTAATAGTGTCAACAATGAAAATAAAGTTAAAAAATATCCAACTAGTAATTTTATTTTATTTTTTTAAATATATTTTATTAATTTTTTACAGAGAAGAAGGGAGAGAGATAGAGAGCTAGAAACATCGATGAGAGAGAAACATCGATCAGCTGCCTCCTGCACACACCTCCTACTAGGGATGTGCCCGCAACCCAGGTACATGCCCTTGACTGGAATCAAACCTGGGACCTTTCAGTCCGCAGGCCGACGCTCTATCCACTGAGCCAAACCGGTTCTGGCCAACTAGTAATTTTAAATATGCATATGTATGATGTCTCTTTATTGGTTAAGGGAATAATAAGTAGTAAACTAATAATTAAAGCTATATTTCCACAGGGATATTAAGCAATTACCTGGATCATTCAAGCAAATTTTTCTTTCTCAAATTAAGTGAAAATTATCTGGAAATTTCAGGATCATTTACTTGAAGCACAAACTATTTAGCTAATCTTTTCTGGGACATTTGGTTTTACAGAGGGAAAACATAAGTGTGAGCTAGCATATTTTCTCTGCATATTTCACTAAGTAAAAATATCAAAATATCTTACACTTGCAACTTGTCTCAATTCTTCCTCGTGTTGATTAAAGATATCTTCCCATCTGCGTTGGCGCCTTCGCCTGTAGGCTTGTAAATCTAAAAGCTCAAACTCTTCCGGTCTCCGTGATAACTTTGCCCGGAACTTCTTTGGTGATAATCTTTTTGCCAGTGCTTGCCTTAGACTAGAAACCTTTGATTTTTTCTTCTTCTGTGCCTGTTCTGGTTGAGAATAAAATATGTTTGATGACAGGTTTTCCATCAGGGTTTGCAGTGGACCAAGTGGCTTTGAGTTATGTGAGTTTGGTGCTCGAAGTAAGTTTCTTGATAGTCCCTCTATCAGTGCTTGAACTGAGCCAACGTCCTGTGGGGGCTCTAGTGCCCAGGCCTGTGCCTGAGGTGACTCTTTGGTTTGTCCCTCTACTGGAATAAGCACCTGAGTATCCAAATGTAGTGGAAAGAGCACGTGGTGGTTCTGTGACAGTAGAGGCAAGAACACCTGGGCTTGTACATGTAATGACTCTAGTTCCTCTGCCTCAGTCTCTGCCTGTGTAGGCTCAGCAGCCTGTTCCTGTACCTCTGGCTGTTCAGGTACTTGATTCTGCTCCAGCTGCTGTTCAGGTAACTGGTTCTGCCCTTGCTGTTGTCCAGGGGCTGGAACTTGCCCTTGTTGTTGTTCAGGTACCTGATTTTGCCCCTGAAATTCCTCTGGTACCCGGTCCAGATCCTGTGGATTTTCTGATTCCTGGGGCTGAGCCTGATCTTTCTGGTCTCTGGGTACCTGGGCATGTAGACGTAGAGACCTAGGTGCCTTAACCTGAGCCTGTAGTGGCATGAGCATCCAGGCTGCCCTCCGTAGTCGTGGAGGTGCTTTAATCTGCATCTGTAGGGGCCTAGATGTTTTAGCCTTAATCTGAGCCTGTAGTGGCATAAACACCTGAGCTGCCCCTTGTAGTCTCTGAGATGGCCGGGCTTGCCCCTGTAGAGATCTAGGTGCATTGTTCTGAGCCTGTAGTGGCTTGAACATCTTGGCTGCTCCCTGTGGATGCTGGAGTGCCTGGACCTGTGGCTCTTCTCGGTCAGGTAACCACCTTGGCTGAGAGGGTTCTCCATGCAGGACTCTAAGTGGTCTGCATCTACTGCTGGTTGGCAGTCTCAGAAGTTCATGGGTACAACAACGTCCTCTAGAAATAAAAATACAAGCATTTGCCATACAATGAGAATTGTCAGTGGAGAGAAGCCATTCAAGGGAAATGATTTTATTTTAAAAGATAAATATTTTCTGAACCAAAGATGGTTTTTAGTAAATCTTTCTTGAATTATTCCTGTAATGTCTAAATTATTATTTGTATTACTAATATACTTGATCATCCTATTGTCAGATATTAAGGAATCTTTTAATGGTAATCAAACATTTTCCCATAAATATCTCTTGAAAATATAGATTTGTTTTTTGTTGTATGAGAAAAGATTAAGTTTTTCTGAGTCAAATACAACAGTATGAAAATCAACTGTCTCAAGTGAATTACTAACATCAAATTCTATATGTAACTTGTCTAACGCACCTGAATTTTCGTGTGGTGTACTGCTCCTTAATATCTTCTTCTCTTTCAAAGATCAGAGGTATTCCTTTTTATTAAAGAAAAATAATGCATAATAATCAGCAGAGATTAATGTAATCCAGCTTATCCAACTTTCACCCTTTATTGCTCAGGATGTTGAGTGAATTTAAAAGGACAGCAAGAAGGTAACCCTTCAAATCACATCTGGTTGGTGATATAGACAATATCCAGGTTCTTGGGTCCACTTTTATAGTACAGTGAAGCTGTTCCATACAGACTAATTTCTATGATCATAGAAAGAAAATTTAGCAATCTGCTACAATTTGAAAGAGAAAGAATTGAGAAAGGCAAAGGGAGAAAAGAACAAGAGAAACTCTAGATGATTGGTGAACATGGCTTATAGGTGTGTGCTCTAGATTTAAGGACTTTATAACTTGGACACACACCTATCTTTGTTCCTTTCAAAGAAGATTGAAAATGAAGATAAAGATTTTAGGTCCTTTCAAGGAAAAGTTTAAAAATCTAAATTCTGGGTTTCATACTTAATGCATTGAAAAGTTCAGCTTCTTTCCTGTCAGCTGTGCTGAACTGAAATATAGACCCAAACAAAATATGTTTTTTTAAGCTATGTTAAAGTGTTTAGGGCAACTATATTTATATCTTCCATATAATCTTCATATGAATGTGACTTTTCCTGTAGTTAACAATTTGGAAAACTTGAAACTATGAATTTAGCAAATCAAGTAGATGTGTGGTCTTCATGCACCCATTTGAGACTGGCTGGATTTTGTCATGCTCATCCAATGAATTCTCCACCATGGCTAAATAAATTAACTCTTGCTGCTTCTCGCTCCAAAATAGCATATAGTTATACTAGAGGCCCGGTGCACAAATTTGTGCACCAGTAGGGTTCCTTGGCCTGGCCTATGGGATTGGGCTGAAACTGGCTCTCTGACATCCACCGAGGGGTCCCGGATTGTGAGAGGGTGCAGGCCAGGCTAAGGGACCCCATCGGTGCATGATCTGGGCCTGGGAGGGACGTGGGAGGTTGGCCAGCCAGGGAGAGACCATGGGAGGGCTCCAGGGCATGTCCAGCCCATATCACTCAGTCCCGATCGGCTGGACCCCAGTAGCAAGCTAACCTACTGGTCAGAGTGTCTGCCCTCTGTGGTCAGTGCATGTCATAGTGAGTAGTTGAGCAGCCTTAGCATATCATTAGCATATTATGCTTTGATTGGTTGAACAGAGGACCAGATGACCAGACACTTAGCATATTAGGCTTTTATTATATAGGTTAGATGAAAGAAGTTACATTGAAATAAATCTGAAGCTAATTTGAAAATGTGTGCTATATTTTTCAGGTTCCCCCTTTTCCACTCTATAACCACTCTCAACTTTGTCTATGGTGCCTCAAATTAAGTGTGGAATTTCCCATACAATCTATAAGGTAGAACTTCCTAAGTAGTTTCCTCTTGATTTGATAATAATCCATCCTGCCATTTTTGGTATTAATATATAGAAGCTTACTTTCATTTGTACAAATAGTTCATTTAATTATATTTTATAGTTGGAGATTAGAACATAAAACAAACTTTGTATGGTGCACAGACTTCAAAATTAAAAGTCAATAAATGGTTAATTACAAAGCCATTTATCTCATTGGAGTTAATTAAAATGTCAGTCAAAGAATCCAATTATTATATAGCTTTTTATTTCCTTTATTACTTTAGTTAGGAGTAAAAAAATAAAATTGGCACATCCCAAAATTCTTCCTGAGGCTTTCAAGGTTTGTAAATACGAACACTTTGACAGTTGTAACAGCCAGAGGTAATGAATTAAGTGCACATGGCACATTAGTAGAAAAACTAAGTACTGAGGGCCTCAGAATTTTTACTTTCAACTTAATTTTCAAAAAAAGAGATTTTTCCTGAAAAAAAAAGAATAAGTTTCGCTTTCATCTAAATAGTCATTCCAGTGAAATGAAAGATCATACATTCTACCTTTTTTCTGTCTCTTTTTAATGATTCCAGTAAGATGTTTCTTCAGTGACTCAACAACATGTCCTTCATGTTTTATATTCCGAACAAATGGATGATGAAGCATATTAGCAGAAGTGGGACGAAATAGGAAATTTTTTATCGTGCATTTTTCCATGAAATTGTGGAACTTGCGAGACCTAAAATACATGAGTCAAAGAGATAAAAGGACATTCTCAGGCCTGACACATCCATCCACATGCCCACCCACATGCCACTTTGAAATTCATATTTGTGGAAACTGTTACCTATCACTATAATTATCTTTTTAATTGCTAAATATCCTTCAGCTTGACAATATACATTATACAGCAATGCCATTCAAACCTCAGAAGAGATCAGTTTTTGGCATTTTTTACCCAAATAATAGAAACTTCAGTGAGTTCAGAAGTGTGTACATGGTAAAAAGTCAAGTAGTAGAATAGCATTTAAGTGGTTAATGTAATAAATGTAAACCATGAGACTAAATTTGTCACCCCACAGCAGTCACACTTTGAAATCTGAATGCTTCACTTGACTATATGGAACTACAGAGGTTTAGATATAATGATCCTCCAAAACAGGGGTTATTGAGACTAACTTTATAAAATGACCCATGAAATCAGTTGTGCCCAGAAAACCTGTATCTGTGGGAATGGTTAAACTGAATCACAATCAAGAATGTTAGTGATCAAATCACAGTCACCACTTCTACCAGGGCAAGCAATACTAATAAGCAAGAATGTCAAGTACTAGATCAAAAAGCTTCATTGAAAAGGACTTCCAAGTTTAGTTGGCTTGTAGCACCCTGGGAGAACAAGTTTTCTTTTCTAGGTCTGTGGGTGTCTAGCTTAATGAATGGGCCAATCACTGACTACCTATCTAAGCACAGTGAGAAAAGTTACAAATGATTTCCATAGGTCCATCCCATTACTGGGGAAACAAAGGAATATGCCATTAATGCCAGTACTATAATGCCATCATAATATATTCTGGATGGTATTACTTATTTCTAGTTGGTTAGCTACTTTTTAAAGCAAACTAGTCATTTAGACACCACACTTAAGGTATTGAATTTTGTTGAACAAAGATGTTGAAGCAGGAATATTGTTGAACAAAGATGTTGAAGCAGGACTGACCAAATGAATTAACACTTCTCTGCTAAATAAAAAAAATATCAAATTAATGTATTTGGGAGATTGGGTCATTCATGTTTACCATCCACTGGATTTGACTTTGGGAGCAGATTCCCGCAAAATTACAAAGAGGGCTTCCAAGGGCTGAAGGTTACACAGCGCTGCAAAGGAAAATAGATAAGTTTAGAATGAATGACTGAGAGAAAAAAGAACAAAGTTAGAGGTATCATGTTACCTGACTTCAAATTATACTAAAGAACTACGATAATCAAAACAGCATGGTATTGGCAGAGAACAGACACACAGATCAATGGAACAGAATAGAGAGCCAGCTATAAAACCATGTGTATATGGACAGATAATTTTTGACAAAGGAACCAGAAATGTATATTGGAGTGAAGACAGTCTCTTCAATAAATGGTGCAGGGAAAACTAGAAAGCCACATGCAATTGAATGAAACTGAATTACAGTTTGTCCCACATACAAAAATTAATTCAAAATGGATCAAAAACCTAAATATATAAGACCCCAAACAATAAGATACATAGAAGAAAATATGGATACCAACTTATGGACCTGAGTCGTAGAGAACTTTTTATAAACTTGAACCTAAAGGTAGGGGAAGTAAAGGCAAAAATAAATGAATGAAACTATATCAAACTAAAAAGCTTCTGCACAGCAAATGAAACTGACAACAAAACAAAGAGGCAGTCAACTAAATGGGAGATGCTATTTGTAAACAATAGCTCCTCCAACAAAGGTTTAATTTCCAAAATATATAAAGAACTCATAAAACTCAAGACCAAACAAGCAAATAATTTAATCTAAAATTGGGCAGAGGACCTGAAAAGATAGCTCTCCCAAGAAGACATACGAACAGCCAATAGAAGATGTTCAACCTCACTGGCCATAAGGAAATGCAAATAAAAACTACAATGAGATGTCACCTTATACCTGTTAGAGTGGCCATTATCAACAAGACAAGCACTAACAAGTGTTGGAGAGGTTGTGGAAAAGGGGGAACCCTTATTCACTGCTGGTGGGAATGTGGACTAGTATAACCACTTTGGAAAGCAGTCTGGCAATTCCTCAAAAAATTAAGAATAGAGTTACCATATGACCCAGCAATCCCACTCCTGAGTATATATCCGAAAAACTCAAAATCATGTATTCACAAAGATATATGCACCCCTATGTTCATTGCAAGATTATTCACAGGGTAGAGACATGGAAACAATCTAAGTATCCCATGAGAGAGGATTGGATAAAGAAGGATAAAGAGAGGATTGGTACATATACACAGTGGAGTTCTATGCAGTTATAAGATAGGATGAAATACTGCCATTTGCAACAACATGGATGGACCTTGAGAACATTTCGCTAAATAAAATAAGTCATTCAGAAAAGCTAAGAACCATTGATTTCACTCATATGTGGGTTATAAAACGAAACTCATGAACACAAATAGCAGTGGGGTAGTTGCCAGAGGGAAGGGGGTGGAGGGAATGGGTCCTAATATAAGGTGACAGGAGAAGATTTGACTTTGTGTTATAAAGATCTTATAACATAGAAAACCACACCTGAAACCTATATGTTCATGTTGACCAATGTCACCCGAATCAATTAATAAATAAAATAAAAATAGAATGAATGAGAAAGGTAACTACAGAGCACACTCCTCATTCCAGAAGGAATTCTAAGCAAATGAAGTTCATGAAAAGCTCACTTTAACACAAACAGTCCTTTATATAAGATCCTAAAGGTTCATTATTGACAGTTGTGACAAATTAATAATAAATTACACTAGATAATATGTTTGAAATATGTTATTGATAACATATCTTTAAAGGGAAACCAAAAGTGGAGGAGACAAAGCACTCTTTTGTGTTTTTGTACTGTAACTATATATAGTTATAAAATTGGAATATGTAATTATAAATTGAAAAAGTCAAACAGACTAGTAGTTAAGCAAAATAATGTATAAAGATGATTGATTAGTCTAAAAAGATGAGAAGACTATGTTTTGGAAGTTGACAGTCCTATGAAAAGAGGTAGATCTAGTATAATTAACTAGTAAGAACACACTTTCTAGAGTAAGATGGCCTGGGTTCAATTCATAGCTCAGCCTTTGTGATCTTGGGAAAATTACTTAACCTATCTGTGCCTCATTTTTTATTGGAAAAACAGGAAATATATAAAGAATCCCTTCAGGGAGTTGATGTGAGGATTAAATGGTAACCTACAAGCATAAGTGTCTACCACAGATTAGGCACTTAATAAATATAAGCTATTGATATTATCATAAAGATTTTAACTATCTGGCAATTCGAGTTTGTGCCAAATTATTGGACTTTTCATTCCCTATTTCAGACACACAGCCCTACAAAGAAAAGCCTATTCCAATATGTGCTATACAAATTCATTACTTCATTGGTTTGAGAATTCTGCACTTTCCTATAAGTGTTTAAATATGTGTTTCACTTCACTTATTTCCTCTTATGTTTTGATTAAAGAAAACTGGCAATGTAAAAAATTCCCAAAGGAGAACCATAGTGTAAATTTCACCTAACACTTCAAGTGTGTCATTAATGTTAGGACAATTTGATATTAATGCCACTTTAAAGTCATCCTTCCTCTTCCAAAATACATCTCCAGGAAAATTACAATGTCAAACTGGTCTCTCATAACAGTAGAAAAATAAACCTCCTGGAGCAATTTCATTAGAGTGATATAAAGGCAATTGTTCAAAGGTCATTCTTTGTTTCAATTACATGGGCATAAATTAATAGAAAGTGCAGGTTTCTAATTGAAGGCAGAATGAGATCCAAGCTCAAAAGATCAGGGTCATATTTGACTGTCTTCATTCCTTTACTGTGTCCAATCAGTCATCAGATTCTGTCCTTTAAACACATCGCAAATGAGTTTGTACAATATCGAGCAGTTGCCATTTATAAAAAGCTGAGCATCATTCAGTCAACTAACAATATCTTTAGGAGTCAAGAGTTAGGGCATACACTTGGTAGGTTTTCATTAAGGGAAAGGAGAAGTCCACAAAGGAATAGAGTACAGGGTGGTTAAAAAAGCCATATCAAACAGCAATTGTGGAAGTTTCCTATATGGTCTAATTTTAGGAATGCTAATAAATGCCCCTTCACACCATATTACTTAACAGTGCCTATATTTCACCATTACATGAATATTCATTTGAAATAGCAAACCTCCTTTAAAAATACATCTATTCAGAACTCACAGGAGTCTGCGCCCTGGGTGGTTGGAGACTACCAATGTTATCACCAATAAGGGTTTAATCTCCAAAGTTTACAGGGAAGTCATACAACTTAACAAAAGGAAGATACACAACCCAATCAAAAAATGGGCAACGGACCTAAATAGATACTTTCCAAAAGAAGATAGACAGAAGGCCAAGAGACATATGAAAACATGCTCAAAGTCACTAATCATCCGAGAGATGCAAATCAAAACAACAATGAGGTACCATCTCACACCTGTCAGAATGGCTATCATCAGCAAATCAACAAACGACAAGTGCTAGAGAGGATGCGAAGAAAAAGGAACCCTCGTGCACTGCTGGTGGGAATGCAGACTGGTGCAGCCACTGTGGAGAACAGTATGGAGTTTCCTCAAAAAACTAAAAATGGAACTCCCATTTGACCCAGTGATCCCACTTCTAGGAATATATTCCAAGAAACTAGAAAGACTAATTAGAAAGGATATGTGCACCCCTATGTTCATAGAAGCACAACTCACCATAGCTAAGATTTGGAAATAGCCTAAGTGTGCATAAGCAGATGAGTGGATTAAAAAACTGTGGTACATCTGCACAATGAAATACTATGCTGCGGTAAAAAAGAAGGTCTTACCATTTGCAACAGCATGGATGGAACTGGAGAGCATTATGCTAAGTGAAATAAGCCAGTCAGAGAAAGATAAATATCACATGATCTCACTCATTTATGGAATATAATGAACAACATAATCTGATGAACAAAAACAGATCCAGAGACAGAGAAGCATCGATCAGACCGTCAAACCTCAGAGGGAAGGTAAGGGAGGGTGTGGGTAAGGGGGAGAGATCAACCAAAGGACTTGTATGCATGCATATAAGCCTAACCAATGGACACAAACAATAGGGGGGTGAGGGCATGAGCGGGGGATGGAAGGTAATGGGGGGATAGGACACATATGTAATAGCTTAATCAATAAAGAAATTAAAAAATACATCTATTGATGGGTTGTAAACATTTAACTGGGAGCAATCTGAATTGATTTGATAAGGTTGAGATCTGAAGAAAACTTTTGAATACTTAAGAAATGGGTATCTTAATGGGACAATATTAAATTTGAGTCACGAGACAATGATGTAAACATTGATCTGTGTGTAAAGCAGGGACACTACAAGAAACAGAAGTAGGACACTAAACAAACATGGATGACAGTATTAAAAATAATCTCTACAACAACAAGGGGAATGCTAATATAAAGAAATGTATAATTTAGATTAAGGTAAATTGGCTGTTGTAGATCCTTGACAAGGAAGGAGAGTTGCAATAAACTGTCAACCTGATTCTACCTCTTCACTAGACAATCATTTTTTTTTCAAATAATAGCAAAGAAACTAAGAACTGCATCTATTCAACATTGGCCTATGATATTCTGATGTTTGAACAACTATTAGCAATATTCTGGCCTTGGTTTGAAAGCCTTCACATCTTCACATTGTTTGAATTCTTACCCAGAACTCAAGGACTTAAGAAGGTCTGGGTGAACGGTGGCCCTATCTTCTCTCCTCTGAGAGTCCCTATAACACATTTTCAATAAGAAGTTATTCTTCCTCTCTCTTTACTTCTCTGGGAGAGACTCACCAAAGAAAGAAAGGAATTTTGTTATTTAGACCTCAGAGATAATTATCACAGAATTGTTGCTTCGGAAGGTCATTCTGTCTGAGATGATAACTATAACCTGAAGGATTTCTGCTCTCTTAAATTGATAATTTCCATACAAAGCTAATACTTCAAGCAATACAGAAGGCTGGTGAAAAACAATTTTTTAGCATTGTGGCTATTTCAAGTTACTCATGACCAAAAGTCACACCATTCCAATTACTTATCCAGGAATGCTGATCCTCTTTTTTTAAAAAAAAACTTTATTGTTGAAAGTATTACATATGTCCTCCTTTTTTCTCCCATTGACCCCTTATAGGCCACCCCCAGCCCCAGGCCTCCACCACCCTATTGTCTGTGTCCATTGAGATTTAAAATCTTTTCTCATTGAGAGTTAAGAATCTTTTGGTCCTCATTTGTCTTTTACAAGAAGTTTGCCATTTGTATACTCTGTGCAAAACTTCTTCTCCACACTCCTTCTGTGAGTTTGCTCATTACCCCTTTCTCCTATAATTTTATACTTTAGAATAAAAACTGAAACACAAAAGGTGAACTAAAAAGCACAAATCTATAAAACGCCGAAAGCTGGATTTTTGAAAAGATATGGTGAGGAACACTCGGAAACAACAGAAAAAATATACTACTTGATGCAGTCATCAATCCTAACCAAATACATGCATCAATACTCATATGAAATATCATATTGTGTATTGAGAGAAAGAGGGAGGGAGGGAGGGAGAGAGAGATAGAGAGAGAGAGAGAGAGAGAGAGAGAGAGATCATTTAAGCATGTTTCTTTCACAGAAAAAGAATTGAGTGATGATGGACAGTAATATGTATTTTCTCAGTCTCATTTCAATTTTATATATGTAGCATATATAGTTTTCTCCATCATTTATTTTTTACTCACCCAACATAGATACTTTGTAGTTTTTTGGACACTAGTGGAAAGGCATCAGAAACCTGATCTCCCCATTTATCCCAGTTTTAATCCAAGCCCCCACTGTGATATTCCGAGGGACACTAGCAATTCTTAAAAATGATATTATGACTATTGCGCCTCCTTGAACTTGCTCCCATTGGCCTTGAAATACATTAACAAGATAGTCCAAGCTTATAAAGCTTGGTGTGTGGACATTGTGGAGAGGGAGCATGCAGGAACATAGGAATCTAGAGGATCTGCTTGGAGAGTCAGAAGCAAAGCAATCCCGTCCCCCCACCCCACCTCTGAAACATACTCCAGGCATTTCTCTCACTTCTCATCCAACAATACCAGGAATGTATTTATCATTTACATTTTCGGGTTTAGGTAATTAGGACAGAAAATATGCTCTGCTTATGGGGCCATACATTAGATGGTTGTCAATAATGTATATCTAAATTTACATGCTATTTTCACCTTCCTACCAGAAATCAGTGTCCTGAAACAGGATGCTGATAGGTCATTTAAATGATGGGAAGGAAAGGAAACAAAAGGAAATGGAACCTTCTGAGATCTTAAGGGCAACAGAATGGCTAAAAGGAGCAAGGAAGGTACAAAAGGTAAGCTGGACTGACTCCAAAGTGGGGGGGGAAGCTTACTTTCCAACATTATTGAGTATTGGCTCAATTTCAACCAACCACTGGAAGATTTTCTCAACTGTCACTGTCTGAAGTAATAACAGTATGTGACTGTAATTGTTTTGGAACCTAAATACAGTGGGGCCTTGACTTACGAGTTTAATTAGTTCCATGACGGAGCTCGTAACTCAAATTACTCGTATGTCAAATCAATTGTGAACGAGTGAGACACGTGATGCTGGGCTGATGTTGTGGCGTTCACTGTGACGATCGCTGCGCCAACTAGCGGTGGAGTATCTGAAGCTGGCTCATAACCAGAATTTTAGCTCGCAACTCAAAGCAAAAAATCGGCTGAGGGACAGCTCCTATCTCGAAAAACTCGTTAGTCGGGACACTCGTAAGTCAAGGCCCCACTGTATTCCATCAGTCAATATTTATTGAAATGCCCTTATTTCAGGTGGGTCAGGATTGCCAGGACCAAATACTATTGTGACTAAATTGAAATAATACTCAATCAGCCCAAAATGTGATACATAAAAGAGAAAAGGAAAATCTCTTTTTATAGACATATTTGGCCATTTTGACTAGAACATTCAGTAATCACTGAAAAGGCTACCATTTATATATAGTTAGGCATTTAATGTGGCACCTGGTGGCCAGTATAAGCTTACTGGTACATTCTCAAAGTGGCAGATTTGAACAATATATTTTCCTAACTTTTAACAAATTTCAAGTATTTTTACTCACGAGGAGCCCCTTCAGCCATTTCAATAGCAGTGATTCCCACGGACCACACATCACTCTGCAAAGGAAAAGATGACCCCAAAAAGTCAGTTAAAAATAAGAAACAGTATTTAGAATCTCAAAATACTCTTTGGCTGAGGGAGTGGTAGTGGTGGTGTCAATGCCAGAGCCATTTTATGGATTTCCTATAGGCTGTTGTTACAGAGAGACGTTATATGAGCTTGTGATCAGTTAGTATTGTTCTACACAACGGTTGATATTGGATGGGCTTAAGTAAGTATAAGAAGAACCATGATTGATATGTTGCTATTATTACCTTAACTGAAATAGCAAAAGGAATTTGTTGTAAAGAAATCCTATCACGTAAACCTACTTACTAAATGTGCAATCTTAGGTAAACTATTTAACTCTCTGTGGCTCAATTTTATAAAATGGGTACATATATTAATAAACATATAAATATATATATATATATATATATATAGTTCCTTGAATATGGTAAATTGAGGATGGAATTATTATAATTCTAAAAAATTATATTCAAGAATTTTCTAGGAAATTACCCTTAATGCTATTAATTGTATTTTGTTTTTCGAATGAGGAAATGGTACAGGGGCTAGAAGTACATTGTGTGGCTACAATAATAAAGTTAATTGAATTATTAGAGCACCAGTTTACAGATCTCTTAGCTTCAAAGGGTTGTTGTGATGGTCTAAGTTTAAGCTTTATTTCAGTTATATGAAGCTAAAAATTAAAAATAAATCATTAATGTTGTGAAAAATCCTTGGAAGACTTCAGTTGTACAACTATAAAGCATTATTTTTACAGTAAGCCACTTAAAGAACAATATGTTTCCATCATCTCCATAGCTACTAATAGCACTAGATTATATACTAAGCTTTCAATAGATCTGCTTGCTGATCAAGCAGAGGGAATTTAAGGGAAAGGGAAAAGAGATGAACCTTGCATTAATCAACTTCAAGTGTCTAGTCCTGGTTCCACACAAAATGAAACCACAGTGAATTATTTGGATGACTTATGATGTGAGGAGTGAGTGTAGTTTTTCCAGTCTATAGCAAATGGAGAGTTTTATTTCTACACTAGCTCTTTGAAATGTGTACATAGATGTATATTGTCCAAATTGCAGTTTCAGTGAAAATTTTAATAACATGAATTATTATTTAATTCATCTCTTCTACTGTTTTTCTGTGATTTGGAGGTGAACCATGCTAAAGATTTCTCTATCACCCTGAGCAATGAAATTATTTGTTTTTCATTTTGGAGCTAAATTACTGTAGGGATTAATAATTGACTTTACATTTATTCATTTTTTAAGTTTAAAAAGCCCTCTGTCCCTGAAAGTTAAATTTCCATATAAAGCCACATAATATTTTACCAAGAAGTTGCAAGCAGCATGAACTAGACATTCTTCCTCAACTATGGAGAACTCCCAATGGTCTAATTTGTCTACAGTCTTAGAAAATATTATTTTTCTGCATATAATCAAACCACATATAGGAATAGTGGCTGGTATTTCCTATTAGAGTTTAGTGTAAAAGGAGGAGCTGCCTGCCTTTTAATCTTTTATTTTATCATTTAAAATAAACATTAGTCAAAAGCCCTTTCCAAATTTGTATCCTCACTATCTGCATCCTCGCACTTACTCTGTAATCATAGGAGCGTCTAGGGTCCTCATCACAGTCAATCACTTCAGGTGCCATCCAGTATGGTGTCCCAATGAAGCTATTTCTCCTACCATTAGTTCTGCTCACCTGGGCACTCACTCCAAAATCCACTGAAAAAAATCCAGCATATGTCAAAATAATTTATCAGTAACAAAAAGCTCAATAAGTTATTGCTTTAACTTAGAAAGAAAATACAAAAGCCACAATGGATAACAGATTTTTATTCCAGCTCAGAAAACCTTACCATAAAGTCTATTCCAGGGATATTGGGAAATAGGATTTTTATGCTATTTATATTGGAAAGAGACTCAGCAGTGCTATTATAAATCTACAGTAGGTTTGGCTGAATGTTTACCATGAATATTAAAAATAAAGTTCCATCAGTACACCCTAAACCTCTGAAGTGATAACATATGTAGTGTTTGGACCTGTCACCAAGCTGGAGGAAGACCAGCACTTTTTAGCAACATATAAGAAATCTAAAACCTAGTAGTAGCTTATTAGGAGACCTCATTCACGACAGTAGAAATTCCTATCACACTGATAAAGAAAAATGAGTTTTCTGCTAGAATTTAAGTTCTTCTACAGATCTTCTGAATCAGAGGCAAATATTTACTATAGTAAATACAGCTTAGCTTAGACTATGAAAGTTCAGTCTTCTATTCATCTGTGGGATACATTATATGAAAATATTTAGTATGGTATCCTCAGAAACAGACAGAAAAAAAGGCTAGAGTAGACTGGAGTATTTAGTCGAGAACAAATAATACAGGGATAAAAAATGAAGTAGATTTTCTAACTTAGAATAGTTTCCAGGAATCAAGAGGATAGAGAAAACATTGACTGAAAAGTAGTTTGAAAAATTTAGAAAAATAAAAAAAATTAAAAAGCTAAGCATTTAAGGCAGTCTTTAAAGATCTAATAAGAACAACAATAAAAAGTCCATGATATGTAAAATTCATCATGCACAACCTCATTATCTAGATTATTTTGGAGAATAAGTTAAAGCAGAGCTCAGCATTTAATTATCCCTGAGGGCCAACTTTAAGGGCCAAGAAATATCTGTGAAAGCTATAGTTTATATAAGACATTCAGGGAATAAAATAAAAGGATAAAAGATGAGAAGAAAGAGTGACCAATAGAATAAAAGGGGAAAAAAAGAAAAGCTGAAAATAAAGGTAAAGATCAGACTTTAACAGTGGCATAATTTAAACTCTTCTGTAATGATTTAGGGAACAGAATATGAGGATTATTGGTCAATTGCAATTGTAATCAATCATTTTCCAATCTCTTTCTTTTCTGGGACTCCATTTGGCAGTCACTGGTTTTGCCCTCCTTAGAAAATGTCCCCTGATACCTTGCCCCATCCAATGTGCAACCCCACCCAAGCTGTTTGCAGCAGCTTCTCCATATGAATGGTTTGTCCTGGCTCAGGCTTCAGACTTTGCTAAAATCTCTCAAACAAGCTGAAGCTGGTGACAGTGTGCCCCAAACCTATCAATAAAAGGCCCAAGACCTGGCACTAGCACCAGCACCAGCCTGCCTTGCTTCACAGCTGGGCCTCGCTGGGAAACTCCAAGCCCAATACAAATAGCAAAGAGCAGCAGTCTGAAGATTTTTCTATAGTTCCTGTCAGGTGGTCCCAGGCAGTGTCTGGAGGCCCTAGAGCCAGTGCACCCTGTGGACAGCTTTAGACCATAGCAGATTGCAACTCTACACATCCACAAGAGACACACTCAAGACACAGACTTAGTGAGCACCAAAGCCCCACTGAAGCAAGTCCTGCTCCATAGGGGTGTCTCCTGAATAGCAGCTCTGCCACTGTAGTTGTGACTGGTACTCACAGCCAATTGGCCTGGAGGCCAATTCCTTCCAATGAAGCCAACAGCAATAAAGGCTCATGTACAACAAGACTGTGCACACAGACCACACAGGGGTGTACCTAGAGTGCCCAGCTCAGGTGACTGGGGAAGCTGAGCCACTGGACCCTACAGGACACCTACTATATGAGGTCAATTTACCAATTCCAGGATAGAGAAAAGATCTACTTAATACATAGAAATAAAAACAAGGAAGCAACTAAAATGTGGAGACAAAGAAACATGTCACAAATGAAAGAAATGAAAGCAAGCAAACAACTGATTATAGAGTTCAAAACCATGGTTATAAGGTTACTCAAAGATCTTCATGAGACTTTTAAGGATCTTAGTGAGAATGTCAAAGACATAAAAAAGGACCAATCAGCCCTAACTGGTTTCGCTCAGTGGATAGAGCATTGGCCTGCAGACTCAAGGGTCCCAGGTTTGATTCCAGTCAAGGGCATGTACCTTGGATATGGGCACATACCCAGTAGAGAGTGTTCCGGAGGCAGCTGATTGATGATTCTCTCTCATCGATGTTTCTAACTCTCTATCCCTCTCCATTGCTCTCTGTAAAAAAATCAAA